TCTTTTACCCTCACATTCTGTGTCCCTGTCTCATCAGGACGGCTGTTCCTCACTGATTAACCTCTGTGAGCCACTTCATGTCCTCACTCTTCAGCACCCTGTAACCATGTCTGCCTTGTTTATCCAACAGGACCATGCTGACCTCGATTATCATGTCACCCACCCGAGCTCTTTCCAGTTCACGAGGATAGAGTGGTTCATGGCGATCACCTGCCCATTATAGTTTCTGTAGTGTGGGATCTCTGTTTTGTGCCTAATTCACACATTCACTCTAACTTCAGTAGTTCCATAATGGTTGGTATTTCCAACATCAACTTTTTTTCTTATATCTATGAACTTCACCCCATGCTGCTTCAGTTGCTGTTTCTGTGGATTTTCCTCAGCTTTGAAGTCTGAATAGCTCCCATTTGCCCTTGCAAGCTCTTTAGGCCCTAGGTATTCTGTAGTGCTTTGGAGTTTATAAATGTATTGGATATCTAAAAAGTATTATTTCCAGATTGATTCCTAACCTTGCAATAGGTTAAATCAATGTGGTTGAATTCTGTGACATTTTCCAAGATCTCCATTACTGTTCTACTTTCAAGCAGTTTCTAGAACTATCTCATATATACAACGTTCTCACACCTGGAAATATAGTCTTTTGTAAATCCACTGGGTCAAGCTTAATCGCATCGTTAAATCTCTCACATAGTGTGTGTGTGTGTGTGTGTGTGTGTGTGTGTGTGTGTGTGTGTGTATTTTTAAGAAGTTTTTGAGACAGGACCTTGTTTGGTAGTCTACGCTGGCCTGCAACATATAGCCTAGACTGTATCTATCAGAACTCAGTCCTGCCATCAGCCTCCTGAGAGCTGGAATTGTGGATGTGAACCCAGTTAGCTCTTCGAATCTTTTTATGTCAAAACCTCCTCTTGTAATGAGATTGTCTTTCGGTTCTTATGGTTGTTTGAAAGCAACAGAATGTAAAGGTAGGGGTGTGTGTGTGTATGGATAAATTATATCTATTATATTCCTAAATGTATAGATACTATGTATATATGGATGCACACACAATGTTAACTACAGCAGAGAATTTTGTTAGAACTATGAAGAATAATACTTTTAAAAGTTCATTATCAGTAGTTAGACTCAATATACTGTAGGAAATGATATTTAGCCATCAAGAAGTATGAAGGGGAGGACCATGCTGTGTGATGTGACTGCTGGTAGACTTTACTGTGATACTATTTTTATAAACAGAAGAAAATCCCTGTTTGTGAAAACATATAAGTATGGGTTTAAACTAGGATCACTGATAGTAGTCCCTCCAGGGAAGTGGCTGGAGGAAGCGAGGGCAGCTGTGCATCTACCTTCTACAGCAGCTGTTTGACTTTGGCAGTCTAAGTGGGTGTAGTAAAGAAAGTGAGAGAAACATTATTTAAAAGGCTCAAGTTGGGCAGTAACACAATGTAAATGTTTTAGGAGTTTTGCTGTGTGGTGAAGAAAGAATTAGAGGAAAGCAAGAAAGAATTGGCCAGGCCTGGTCAGGAGGCTTCTGTGGTTGGCTTAGCTGGAGAGAGAATGGCTCTCAAGCAGTGGGCTCCAGTAGGGGTAGAAAATAAGTTGATCATTTGAAAGTGAGGTCCTCAAGGTGAATGACACCTGGGTTTAATAAGTTGGGGTGTGGTGTCAAGGAGATCCCAGCTATATCCTTGTCTCTGCCTTGGGCAACTGGAAGAAGCTAGTGGCACACAGGGTGAGTGGTGGATGTGGCTTTGACATTTAGGGGAGATGGAGAGAAAGGAGCCTAGATGCATATGATTCCCCTGGGCTCTAGGAGTACAGAAGACCAGGGATGAACTCTGGGCATTGTCCCTCCACACTCCTGCCCTTCCTCTCTCGGGCCCTTGTCTTTCCCTCCATCGCCCTCATCTTCCTCATCGGTCCTGTTGCAGCTGTGTGAGCCCAAGGGGAGAGAATTTAGTGAGGACAAATAAGACATAAATTGATAATTGATATATATCTTTTTATTATGCACAGATAAAAGAATTAAAATTGTGGTTATCAAAACTATAACTCTAAGCAGGTTCACAAAGTTGCTGACTCACAAACAGAACAGGTTACAGCAGGGGTGTTCAAACTGGCCACAGGGATTTTCAGGGTACACTTTCACCCTCATAGATGAAAAACAGTAACAAAATCAGGCTCATTCAGGAAAATCCAGAATAGAGGAGTGTCGTATTTAGAAACTGATAATAGTCCTTCCTAGAAAAATATCTGTCAGTTTTATGAATGAACCCCCAGATAAAACAAAGAGGGTTAAAAAAAAAGTTTGCATACACGACTCACCCGACAAAATGTGCTCTGTTAATACAACCAGCAGTACACTCGCCATTCAAACCATGAGGTAGTTACAGTACGAAAGAGAAGGGTGCACGCTTGTGCACCCCCACACACTCAGGCACACCTGCCAAGAACACACATAGGAAATGGGATTCACAATCTCATTACCAGATGAGCAAGACACCATTTTGTGTTTAGGAAAAACTAAACTGATACATGACCAGCTCAGGCTAAAGAAAAATCTCCAACCTTCAAAAACACAGCATTAACAGTCGGGGAACACCACAAGATGAAACGCTATAGGGCATTGCACAGACAACCACCTTGGACTTGAGCAGTCCAGTGTGACCTCTGGCCATGGTGTGGCCCCCAGAAACAACACAAGACTTTTAGGTGGAACTGGGTTTAGCCAGTCTTAGGAAACTTGCTGAATATATTATAAAAGTAAAGCTTGTACTTTGTATGAAGTCTGTGAAGGGTGGATCAGTCAGAAACACTGTAACGAGAGTCCAGGGAAGAGACCCTCACTCTTAACACTTCGGAACATTCGTTCCCAGTACGGAATTGGGTTTCTCAAGCTGAGCAATAGACATCCAAGGAAATAAAGGGTGATTTTTCTTTCTTTTCTTTCTCCTTCTAAAAACTCTTCATTTGCAGCTTATAAATTTGTAAGTTAATTTAAGATTATAAAATCATTGGCAATGTAATATTTCTCTCAAAAATATACATTTATATATATTACAAAAACTTTTAACTCCATTCATCTAAGAAATGAATCTTTTTAATACCTTCCCATAGCTATTTTTCTTTCTAACAAGATGGAAAAGTATGTTTTGTTTGTTTGTTTGTTTGTTTAAAGTAACTGGTTAGAAGAATTCACAGTAATTGAAATTAAACATTTCATATGGGGTAACTTAAATTTCTCTAAAACATTTAAATATATCTTTATACAGATTTTTTTGTAGTAAAATATAGCTATAAGTGATTTAAAGACTCTAGTCTTCTTTGAAGACATCTTTAAACATCTCTATACATAGAATATACTTAACAATTACATTCTGCTGAAGGTTAGGCAAAGCGCATTATTTTTAAACACAGGTAGCGTAGAAATATCTAGGTCCTCCACAATAACTTCCTGTTATAAAACAATGAACTGAAGAAAAGTATTTCTCTAGTCTCACACCATTTGTACTTATATGTGGAAATCTGAAATATTTTCAATGTATCAACACATCAGTCTGAAGCTGCCAGCCCTGAAGGAATCTGCTTTGGTTCAGATTATCCCGACTGAATAAAAGCTATGCCTGTCATCCATCTAGTTAGACTAAGGCGCAGTGACTAAGAGACTGTCTCTCCCAGTAACACTTCCCATTGAGGTTTTCCGTCATGAAGGCCAGGCACAAGAGCCTGACTTTAAAGGCAGTGGAGTTCACTTGTGAGAATTTCAGGCTAGAATCTAGCTTGTTCTACTTGTGGACTCTTAAGTTGTTTGGAGGGATTCTGGAAAAGCAATGTTACTTAATTGGCAGGGGATCTGGCATGGAAGAGTCCTCTCTGGGGTTCAGTTTTACCAAAGAGCTGTCACTAAGCTCTGACTGTCAGGGTGGCATCATGTTATCCTGCCGAAGGAAGTGCTCCTGAAACCCTTTTTTGTGAGACACTTCAATGTGAGCGCCCGTCTCTCCTTTCTCTGCATCCTCAGGGCAGAAATGATGACATCATTTAGATGAGCTGAGGCCATCTTTAAGGATCTGCCTCCTGGAAGGGTTTGGATTTTATAAAACGCTCATCAGAAAGGCTGATGTGTTGAGTTCTTATAATCTACCACATATAAGTCATGTTCCGACTCTGGAAGCATAGAACATTTTTCAGGAGGGTGTGATCATATCTTCAATGTGCAGATGTTACACACTTGTAATTATATGCAAACACTACCATGCAAATTCCTCCCCTTACTACCAAATCCCCCCGCCCCCAAAGTTTAAACATTATTAGGACAAAAAGTCAGAAACAGGTACAAAAGTGTTCTACATTTCATCATTTTCTGTTTCTGTATGCCTGTGAGAATAAACAAATTTTGCTTTAAGACACTTATGGAGTTGGCATGTGGGCGCGTGAAGGAACAGGAATTAGCATTCATTTTGGCCCAAGAAAGGAATGTTGCCTTGATAAGTGATAGGGTGTGACCTTCCCAAGGTTAGCAAGCTAAACAAGGGACCAAGTGGGTGTGGCAGGTCAGAAGTAGGCACCCAGATATAGATGCAGATTGGATATGAAGGGTACATTTCTTCTATTTTACATTTTGGAATTACAGTTAGAAAAATCTTTGGCCACATCTCCCTGGTTCTACTCTCCAGCTATCATCCTTTTACTATCCCTGTTACTCTGGGTAAAACTTACGACCCCATATGATGGATGTTTGGACACCTGGACAAAGCAGCATTAAAAAAAAAAAAACAAAAAACAAAAAGCACTGGCATGTTTCACATTGAAACCCCATCCTGTGAGGGGCTGGAGGAGAAGGCCACCAGGGCCACCAGCTTAGCTTTTGTGTGTGACAGATATCCAGGAGTCACGTTTACATTGGCCGTGATGAAGGGTGGGTACAGCAGGCTGTCTGCACACTGGGCTTCACTCTCTTCACTCGAGCCTTCCTAGCCTGGCATGCACCAGGCCCTGCCCTGGCAGTTGCAGCAGGCACCTGGCTTTGGCTAGGCTGTGCTGCTGCTAGAACAGGGAGTGCTCTGAGTGCTGCCGATGCTGTGGGCTGCGCTGCTGTTTTCCGAGGCTGGTGGCGAGGCGGGGACTTGCTGCCTTCGTGCTGTCTCCCCTGCAGTTAATAAAGACAGGTTACACACATGCATTCTGGAAAGAAATGCCCGCACACATACCCCAACACACCTTTGAGATTCTACCTGGTGTTTTCTTAGCTATAGGCAGAAGCAGCTAGCCCAGATTGGCTGGAGGGCCTTGCACTATATACATTTTTCTGGTTTGTTCTCACTTTAAGTCAGTAAGAGTGCTTTCTATCTGGCCAGTTTTAGCTAGGATCTGTAGTGGCTGATGACAAACACTCTGGAATCTAGGGCCTACAACTCTGGGGGTGAACCCTCTGAACACTAGGAAACCACAGAGCCATAATCTACAACCATGTAACAAGTTCATGATAGAGAACCACATGACTAAGTTATACAATTAATCATAAAACTACCACGTTTTAAGTAAGTTTGTCAATGTGTACTGGCCAGCCCCTTTCCGTGCTAGAGCTGGACCCTCAAACTTTGCACACACTAGTCATGAGCCAAATACCACTGAGCTATCACCAACCCCTTTGTTCAGCACCTTGTTTAAAATTGGGCTAGTGATGTTGAGAGTTTGCCCTGGATATAACAACAAAAAGCTCTGTGTGCCCCACATGAAACCTATCAGAGAAGTAGGAGTGAAGACTGGGCTGCTATGGGAAAACCCTTTGGGGCAAGGAGTTTGAGCTGTTTACACGCAGGACCTGCAGTGGCTGCCAACAAACAAGCTCCTTGCAGGCTGAGGCTCTCTGCTGAGTTCAATGCATGTATCTCTCCCAACACATTAGGCATCCCACTAGTCATTACATACCCCACTGCATTACAGCTCAACCCATTTTTGTGCCAAATGTGCAATGCTCTGGGGAGGGAGAAAGGCTCAGGTCACACACATGGTTTGCATTTAACTGTGTAAGAGGCCCTCCAGTTAGCCAGTCTCTTCAGTAAAACCAGACACACACATACTCACACACACACACACACACACACACACACACACACACACACACACACACACACACACACACACAGGACTCTAGGTAGAGAAAAGTGATGCGAACTCTCGGCAACAAAATGAATGTGTCATAAACTTCTCCTGTGCAGACTCCAACCCCCACCATCTGAGAAGCCCCCAGAGGGCCTGGTCTGTTTATGAGTTCTTTCCTGTCCTGCTGAAACATACATCTATCAGCTAGAGATAAGCAACCCTTCCTTCGTCTTCTTTAAAACACAACACTGCCACAGCTAGAGCAGGCTCTGACCCCTGAGCCAGCTCAGGAACTGAAAGCCCATACTTCCACTGCCTTCCTGGGGCCCCTCAAAAAATCTCTGCCAAAAGAGCCCTTCTGCATAGTGCAGAACTGGCTCATGCCCTGGGGAGGTTTCAGCTTTACCTGATACCCGTTTTATGAACCACAGCTCCATGGACTTCTGCATCCTCAGAGCACTTGAGGCTATTGTGCATGCATTTGATCCTTGCATTTCCTCTAGTTTTTCTTCTGGGAGTGGAGGGATGGAATCAGTATTCCTGAGGAGCAGGCAGACTACTCTAATGCTTGTCTTGCCTGGAATATTGTGTGTCTTCCCTGAGGCTGCCCCTTCAAGTGTGTATGTGATCAATGGTGGGAAGTTTGTTTCAAGGGGAGCAACATTTTGCCAAGAATTTACTTTCTCCCAAATGGGAGATTATTTCTAGAAAATGATTCAATCTCTTTACTTTCCCTCCCTCCCCCCTTTTTCCCTTATGTGGTTTCCTTTTTTAGTGCTAGAGTTTGAACCAGAGCCTTGTAAATGTCAGGCACATGCTCTACCTGAGCTATAGGCCCATGTATTTCCAGCCTTTGATGTATATACACACAATGCCCATGTTGATCCATTCTTGGTTGGGTCCTCATGTTACCCATTAGAAGGCTAAGGTGGGCATACAAAACCCATCTGCCTGTCTGTCTGTCCATTCAGTATTGGAGCTGAAACCAAGGCCTTGGACATGGCTAAGTAAGCACTGTACTACTGGATTAAATCTCTAATTCCTGAACCTAAAAATCTCCCCATTTAAATCAAAGGCACACTGGTCTAAGAGGAGGTTTCTTAACACCCCTTTGGGCTCTGCTGGCCTTGTGAGCTTGGTCTCTAGTGGCCACAGCAGGACATCCTTAATCATTAAGTGGCATGTTCACATTTATCTCTTCCAGAACAGGACGAATGTTTGATGATTCACGTCCAGGAAAAATGTCAGCACTGTGTCCTGCCCAGGAAGTCCGAATATCTGTTTCCTGGTATCTGTTTGCCAAATATAATTTGTTGCTGTGTTAGTTTATTTTAATCAGTGCCCGTGAAGAAGAGATCTGTGACTTATAGAGTCTTGGAAACTCTTGTCTTGGTAAAATAAAAATGCTTCCCCCTAATAAAACCCTATAGAGAGAGTAAAAGAGCCCTACACTCAAGGTTGCAGGGCCTGCCCGGAGGTGGGTGATACTCGCTAACCTGATACTCGTTGACTTCAGTTCAAAGACCTGTCTAATCAGAAAGAACCTGTAAGGGAACCTGTTGGTCAATGCTGAAGACCCTTCCCCAGATCCTAGAGCAGGCTGGCTATGATGGATTAGAGGAATCTGTGAGCTCTGGGTTTGAGTGAGAGACCTTTCTCAATATATAAGGTTGAGTTTGAGTGAGACACCTATCCTCAATATATAAGGTATAGAGCAATCAAGGAAGACATGCAAGGTCAACCTCTGTACATACACACACACTCACTCACACATGCTTTCTCTCATGAACACCCCCACACATCCACACACTCAATTCTCACACGCTAATACTAGTCTTAAGACAAGAGAACCCTTTCACAGACCAGCTCATCTGTCCTGTGGCTATTTTCACACGTAAAACCTAATATTTCTTGATATAACCAAGTTTTAATTGCTTTTTCATCCTCTGGCTTTGCATCCTACCAGCTGAGCTAGGTCCCCAGACTCCACCTATGTGCCTTTACAAGCCCTACATGTAGTTTGTTAATCAATTAGCCTTACAGCTCTCTAGTTCATTTTGCTGCCAGGCTTATCATTTGAGCCAGGTATATTCCCCATATTTCCCCTGGAAGATGCAGAACCTAGAGGTGAGGTCCTTAAACACCCAAAGAAAAGCCTCTTGAACACCTGGCTCCTATAAAAATGTCAGACATTTCAGGCTGCTCCGAGGTGTAAGCAGAAAACAATCTACAGGCAGAAGCAACTGTGTTTTCACAGAGCAAAATAAAACACAAAGGCCTTGACCCAAAACTGCTTGCTCCCATCCCTCAGGCTTCCACTTGGCCATCCTCCACTGAGCACACCATACCTTCTAGGAACAGAAGCCAAGCACACATTGAAAGCCCACTGAGTCAGGAAAACACTTCAGTTAGGAGACTCTCTGCATAGGCCCATGTTTTCAGAGATCTGAAGTCTCAGTGAAGACCCCCCCCCCCCACTACCACAAAAAGGAGGTCACCAAGCTTGATGAAGGCTTGCCCACAGTGGCAGGCAAGAAAGCAAGTAAGCCCCAGTATGGAAAGAAATATGGAGCTAGGTAGAGGAGAACCTGCTGGGGCTATGGAGAGGGCAGGACCCCCTTTCTCCACAGAAAAGCCCCTCCCATTCTTTTCAGAATAGCTAAGATGATCACCTGTCACTGTCCGTGTCGGTCCGTGTGCATCTCCCATTGATGATTTGTAACCCCACCCTTCTGTTCCTGCTCCTGAGAGCTGCACTTTGTCCTGCTGGGGAGACTTGCCTTTCTGACAAATTCATGAAGCTGTTGCTGTCCTAAGGTTTGGCTCTGCTGGGGTCTGGGTTTCCACCAGAGCCACTGTCCTTGGCCCATCTGCTCTTCCTTCTCGTGTGAGTTCCACAAGAAAGCAGGACTCTGTTGCTCACTAGTATTGCAGTATTGCACCAGGGCCTGGACATTTACTAATAGCTAAGAATGCCACTGCAAGAGTGACAGGATGAGCAGACTTGTGAAGAAACCAAAGATGAGCAGAGATGAGCATATAACAACCGGAGACACGCAAACAAATATACGTTAATAAGCTTATCTAAAAAGCAACATAAAGATGGAAGCATTGGAGCCACATGTCCTTTGAGTCTGTAATAGAGAGGGAAGAAGAAAGCATAGATGTGTAGAGCGCCACCATTGTCATGCCGGCACTCTGGCCTATTCTCCTACCCCCCTGTGCAGAGAAGAAGCCAGACAGCCATCTCCAAGCAAAGAGACTTGTACCACTCCTTAAATCTTACAGTATGACAGGAAGAGAGAGAGGGGGCGCTTAAAAGGCAGAATCCCAGAAACCAAGGCAACAATGATAAAACACTGGAGCCACTGAGGAACCCTGGGACTCCGAGCTGACTAAAGAAAGAGCAAAACCTAGGTCATAAGTGGCAAAGGCTGAGAATCAATTACTTCATATCACAGAGGCTTCAAAAGCCCAGGCAACAGAGGCGTCCACCTCTGAAGGGAGAGGAGCTGCTCAGGGCCAGTACACAGTGGGGTACACTGAGCGGCTGTACTGGATGCAATATGACTCCTCTGAGTTCCTCTGTCTCTCTGCTAGGCTGCAACCTGCTCATCCTCATCTGGGGGAAGAGGTCATGTACCCTCTAAAGACGGTGACACTGAGGGTACGGGAAATGCCCAATCCCAGACACAGCCGAGGGCAAGGTACTGTACCTGGAGGGGAGTGCTGAGAGGCCATCACTCTTGGGGCTCTGCTGGCTTATTGCATCGTTGCTTGGCCTCACAGCTACCGAAGCTGAATGGCTTCAGAACACGACATGTATTTGATTATCCGCATTCAGGAAAAGTGTCAGTACTGTGCCCTGCCCAGGAAGTTTGAGTATTTCTTTCCCTGTGTTGCCATGTCAGCACTTTTTAATACCCATTTTTTTTTTTAAAGGTTTTCAAACAGCAAGACCTGCAGGTGGGAAACAGGAAAGCCTGTTTCATGGAAAACCTGATGAGTTCAGAGGAAAGATGCAGGGAGGTGATACTGAGGGTCATCCATAAAACAGCCCCCTCAACATACTCTCAGGAAGGTCACATGGTTAGGTCCTCCACATTCTTAACTACGCCTGAATGGTTTTCAAGTAGATAATGTAGGCACAAATGAAGCAAGAACAGAGCTTTAACAACTAAAACAAAGGAAATTCATAGTTCTTGAAATGTAAAACTTTCAGTTTTCAAGGTAGTATTATAGGCATCTGAAAGAGATGAGGCAGCGTGGAGGACTAGTTAAACGATTGGCATAATGAGAGAAGAGAACACAGGGGCAATGAAAGGAAGTGAGAAGAATGAGAGTAAGGTGACACTCCCGACACCTTAGCACTTGGGAGTCTGAGACAGGAGGACGGCAGGTGCGAGGCCACAGTGAGTTCAATGCCAGCCTATGCTGTACTGAGATAATCCCATATCACCCCCCTCAAAAAGAAAAAAAAAGGCAAGAAAGAGGGAAGAAAGGAAGGGATGGAGAGGAGAGACAGAACGAAGGATATAAGGATATAAGGCCGAAAGCCCAACTAATTCCCAGCACAAAATGTGAAAATACATCTAAATTAAGGGACACTATTGTAAAGATGAGTCCAGAAATGAAAGTCACACAGAGAGAATCAGAAATCTAAAGCTACATGGCCTCAAATCATTAAGCAGCTATCTTTAGAACTAGGAGGTGATGGGAGATGTCACTCTGTAAATGTTTCTTTTATTGGTTAATGAATAAACCATTGTTGGCCAATAGGAAAGCAAGATAGGTAGGACTAGGAGACAAGAAGGATTCTGGGAGATGTAATAGAGAGGAATCAAGATGTAGGATGGGAGCAAAGTATGATGTCCAGAGCCTCTCCCTGGTAAGATAAGACCATGTGAAACACTTAGATTGATAGAAATGTGTTAATATTTAAGACAGAGCTAGACAATAAGAAACAGTAACTGGCCAACAGTTTCATAACTAATACAGTGTCTCTGCGCATTATCTTGGGACTGAAGCAGCTTAGGACCAGGCTGGAAGGAAACTGCTCATAACAAGAAGAAAATGGAGTGTTTTCAAAATTCCAAAAGGGTTGTTTATAATCTAATAGTCTGTGCCATGTTCATCTATTAAAGGCTTCTATAAAATGAAGATATTTCAGACTCACAACATAAAGGAAATATATATTTCTCATGTCCCCTTTAAGCCCAGAAGGAGGAAGGCTTTTGATATATGTTATAAGACATTAGATAGGTCCAACAGGCTTAAAAATTGATTTAAGAGGTTTGGGGGAGAGTGAGAATATGTGCACATGTGAATAGCTGCCAGGCAGAGGTGCTGGGGACCAAGCAAACTCTCCTAAATGCTGACCCATCCCCAGCTATCCTCTTGTAGAAGAAAACAGGTGGCATGCCTGGATGTGTTAAGGTCATTAACAGCTGGCAGCCAGTGGATGGATTGATGACAAATGTCTAGAAAACTGAACTAATGGGGGAGGGGATGGAGACAGGCATGGAAATGCTACTGATGCCTGGAAAAACTAAAACACATGGGAGAAAGAATAGAACTATCACACTAAGTGGCTAATGTGGGTTACCACATGTGATTAGCACAGAAACAGTGAATATAGCTCTAACCAAGACTTTCATGCAGTAAGTTCTACATATCCATTCTGAAGTCACACTGTACGCATACTGTTTTGATGAGGCTAACCAGGTTTTTTTGTCCTCTAGAAAACAGCAGATGTATACCTGACTTTGTAACCCATGTCACCAGAGGTGAGAAATCTTGGACTAGAACTTACCTACTCCCAGCCATCCTGTCCTCTCTCCCCTCATGGCTATTCATGAGACAGAGCTTTAAAATGGGGCACTCCAAACAAAACGAATGGAGGTATCTCATTGTGCCCAGAATTGTTATAACCGTGGGAAAACTACCTCTTTAGTCCAAAAAAGTGATTCCAGGGACATAAAGAATCACAATTCAAATGTATGGCTTGGTTTGTGTCTTGGGAAGGCTGGAAAACGTAAGCAGAGGGGAGTCACCCAAAGGAAGGATTGTTTTTAGGCACAGAAGCAGATACAGCCTGAACCCCCAAATGCACCATGTAAGGTCTGAGTTCCACAGCTGAACTTATTATGGAAATTAAGAAGGGCTGAGTTAATGTTTGGATGCCCATCTCTGCTTGCTGGCAACAACATTCTGACCATCCCTGTTCATCTAAACTTGCTGCTGGCTGACCCATATCAGACATTTACTGGGTTCTTGACTGAGCCCTCTTTGTGTTTGTATAGCACTAAGATTAATTATGAGCTGTGCATAAAATGAACTGGGGGGGGGGCACAACTTTGACTGAAAAGCAATTCTGGAGTGGGATCATAAGCAATGTCAACAGAGTTTGAGCCCAAAGGACTTTGTCTATGGGCCTTTTAGTTTCTGAGTTGGCTGGAACATAAACTGTTTGCTGGAAGGGCTTTTTGTTTATATTTAATCTATGTGCAAACCTTATTTTTGTATCAACAATACTTTAAGCTCCCCTCTGAGGCTTTTGTTTGGATGAAACGGGGTGAGGCACACCCACCTCCAAGTTCAATGGGGAGCAGAAAACAATACAATCAAGCTTTGCACTGTATTTGCTTGGCTGTGGACAAATCTGGAATTAGCAGAGGGATCTCTGTGGGGTGTGCTTACACAGTGAGTGCCAATGTCTATGCCTGGGCCTGGTTTCCTAGCCCAAGATGGACCCTGTGGGGTTCAGGATCAGCTCTAAGACGGAAGCCAGTCAGTGGCTGAGCAGACACATGGAAAACATCTGTGGGTGACCAGCCCCACATAAAATCCTCAGGGCTACAGCCTTCTTGGAGCACCTCCAAGTTCAGTCCCAGTAGACAACAGAGGGTGCCAAGCACCCTGGAACCTCCCCTGTGCAGGAGGTTGGAAAAGGTTGCAATGAACTATTAGTTTGAGATCTAACATGTCAGCATTGCTGAGCTTTCACATGGAGGGAAACTCTTGAAATGATTCACATCATTTATATACCATCAAGGTCATCCCACTCGGGCTTCATTTTTTCTGACATGAAGCACATTTCACTCAAAGGTTGTTGGTTGGGAACAAGTTTTGAGAACTCAATGCTCCATGATTAAACACTAAGCGTTTGCCACTAGGTTGACTTTGGAGGGTGCTGGCCAAACACCGAGAGCTTGTTTCACACTGTGCCATAATCTAAGGGGTGGATAAAAGGGTCAGAAAATTTTAACAGAAGAGCACTGTCACATATTTTTCTCAACAGTTTGAGGCTCTGTCTAGAAACTAAGAGAAAACACAGGGGCAGGGGAGATGGCTCAGGGGATAAATGCCACTGTGTAGTATGAGGGCTGGTGTTTAGAACCCCCAGAACTTATGTGAAATCCAGGTAAGGTTGGTGGCTAATTGTAATTTCAGCATTGGGGGGCAAAGACAGGATCACTGGGGCAGGGTGGTTAGCTAAACCAGCACTATTGAGAACTCTGAATTCCCCAAAAGGCCACGCCTCAATATATAAAGTAAATGATAGGGAACCACCCAAAGTCAGCTTTGGGTCTCCTCGTGTGTGTGTGTGTGTGTGTGTGTGTGTGTGTGTGTGTGTGTGTGTATGTGTGTGTGTGTGTACACCCCTGCACGCACATTCACACCCTTGAGGACAGTCACACACATACACATACCTAAAGCAAACTTAAAGGTAAGGTGCCTGAGCCTCCCTTCAAATTAGTCATCCTGGTGAGTCTAGCTGAATGACTCAAGCTGAGGGGAAAGACTATAGCTTTCAGTGGGTTGATGGAGAATGAGTGAAGTTCACATTTGCCTCAGAATGATTAGTCTGGTGTACTTTACCCAGGTTCACAGCACGAACTACAAGCATCCCCCAAACATGACTTCAAAATGCCTCAACATATATGCCACCCCTTAATTTGTAGGAAAGTTAAAAAAGCATTGAGGGGGGAGGGGTCTCCTCCCCCCACTGAATGATCGAATCCCCTTGCCAGGCCTGTGTAATATATCAGCTTTTTAACAGGGCCAGCCTAGGGGCTGGCTGGATTTGGGAGGTGGAGACAGAAGAGCAAGGCTTTAAGATTTTTATTTCACTCTTTGTTTTTCTAATCCTAAAAATATACTTTGAAATTCTAAGCTTTGTAAACATAGGAGAAACTTGTTTATTAAAGATGTTATGATGTCATGGCTTAGAGTCATTGACAGGGATGCTGGTGGCCCTTGTTCAGGACCCTGGCATTTTATGGTAATAAGCAGCTGGTTTCTCTCATCACATGCTGGATAGTGCTCAGTTTATTCCAAAGTCTTTTTCTTTGGAGGGATGTTTTCTAGTTAGTCCTACACAAACTTCTCTTAAGTTCTATGACAACATAGCTTTATTAGAAGCTGAAGCATCACCAACTCTGTAATTGAACTAACAGAGGGTAAACCTCTTTTCTAAGCATTACTTAGGCCAAGTTATATGTTTATATGACCTAAATTATACCAAGTACATAAATACAAGAATAGTGAAGGCAAATGTTCTTTTTTTTATTATTTCATTCAGCCATAAAATTGCAGAATGTATGCTATGTGGCAGGTGCCCTGATGCGTGCCAGCTGGGAGCAGATAGTCAAACTTACCTGTGTGGGAATAGATGTACCACAAGGCCCCTGTCAGGAGGGCTCCAATCACAAATGCTGCAAATGCAATGCCCATCACAGTTAGTGTGTCCAGACCATGGAAAATCTCTAAAAAGAGGGAAACACATACTCTGTGTCAGTCATATATACTTCCATTTTATTCTTACTTTGCAAGCATAGTCATAAAGCCTGGGTGCTGGATAGTAAATTCAGACACTGTAATAAGGGTTACACTGAACTCTATAGTTTGTTACTTGCTAATTTTCTGACAAAGGAAAAGATGAATTATTTGGGTTTTGAAAATATTGTTAGTAATTTATTCTGAGCAAAGACTTCTTTTAGTAAGAAAATTTTAGGTTATCTTACTTTATTTGTATGACTCTTTTGCTTGAATGCATGTATGGGCAGCATGTGTGCCAGCTGGATCTCTATCCTAGAACTGGGGTTATAGATGGCTACTGGGAATTGAAACCTGGGTCCTCTGCAAGAGCAACAAGTGCTGTTAATCACTGAAAATCTCTCCAGGTCCCCCAAAAAAATCATTTTAAAAAATAAGATTAATAAATTTTGGACACTTTACATCTGTGGTCTCATTGTCCTGGTCTGAGAAATTTCACAGGTTTCAGGTACAGTAACAGATGTATTGGAGTATGCTCTTAATCCTGGCTCTGGGAGGCAGGGGGAGGCAGACTAATATGAGTTCAAGGCCAGCTTCCTCTTATATAGTGAGTTCCTGGCCAACTAAGGCTACATAGTGAGACTGTCTTGGGGTGGGGGGAGTGAGTTTCCATTATCTTTTCCTCTTACTGAGTACTTCTGAACAATGAGAATCTCACTACATAGACATCACAGCCTTAGCGTCCTCCGCACTGTCCCTGTGAACACTTACAGGATACAAAAGATGAAAGGGAGTGACTAAAAAGAAAACAGAATTACTCTTGTGCATCAGAACACTGTGCTGACTCCGCAGTGAGCCCCCATCTTAACCCTGAAGCACTGGCTCATTCTAAACAACCTGCCCTATGAGTCCTCTTCCAACCCCCATCTTTCCATGAAGAAACTTACTTCTCAGTAGGCTGCCATGTCAGAGACTTTATATATAGATATATATATGTATGTATATATACATACATACATACATATATATGTATGTGTGTGTATATATATATATATATATATATATATATATATATGCAACTGATTTCAGTTCATAGAAATCTGATATGTCCTTCCATTGAAGAAGGAACCACCTTTGAGTAAGAACTTGTGAGGAAGTGTTTGGTAAAATAAAAGTCTGTTTATATGTGTGTGTGAAGTGAAGGTGTGATCTAAACACACCTCTTCTTTTCACTCCATGCAGAAGCAACACTCCCTGATCATTCTAGAAATGAAATAAATCCCTTTGCTTTTGAACGCACAGGACACAAAAGCTTCAGTTATATGCAGATGTGGGTCCTAAGCACCTGTGGCCCTTCAGAAGATTCTGTTAAGTATCTCCAGGTGGAAGGACCATAGCTCCTCCAGCTGCATGCCTGCTAGTGTGTTCATTTACATTCTGGAAAGGTAAGGGTGACCCCACCCACCACAGGTAGGAGGTAGCACAAGATGAGTTACTACAACAGATGAGCAGTCCTGGCAAGGAACTAGAGACCAGGGAGAGCCTGGTGGAGGTTAGAATGATAGCCTGTACATCAGCTCCTGAGCTGAACCTAGTCCATGGGGCAGGTCTATATGGCACCTGTCACTGAGTTTGTGGTACTCTTATTCCATAATCTTCTGGAAGACATTAAAGGGGGCTTTCTATAAAAGTTCTATAAAGAATGACTTATATCCAGCAGAAGCAGAGGCAGGTGGATCTCTGAGTTTGAGCCCAGCCTGGTCTACAGAGTGAGTTCCAGGACAGCCAGGACTACACAGAGAAACCCTGTCTTGAAAACAAAACAAAAATAACAATGAAAAACGGGGGGGGGGGGGAGAGAAGAGAAGAGAAGAGAAGGAAAACAGATTCTCTTCACAGGGACACAACATCTAAAAGAACTTTGGGTGGGCAGCTAGAAGCCAAGGGGGAGCCATGCTTCAGTGTCAACAATAACCATGGAAACTCACTTAAATATATACAAAATGATATTATGATCTACAGTACTGCCAACTCGTGCAGTACCAATGGTATTGAACTCTCATTCTCCTTGCCCTCCCGGTTCTCACCACCTTGACTGTGTGGTGCTATTTGCTTAGCACTATTTCTAAGCAGGAAACTCGAAACACTCTCCCATCAACTTGATAATATGAGGTTGTACACGTGTCAGTGGGTCAACAAATTAGGATTTTAATATGGCAAAGGTAGAGACCTCAGAAAAGGGAAAGGGAGGATGAAGAGCAGGGGAAAGGGAAAAATGAATTGTGAGGGGGAAGAAAAGAGGAGCAGGGAAGAGGGAAGGAACCCAGAGCTCTCCTTTATCAGTCCAGCTCGGCAAGTGTTCAGCAACCAACACATTCTTAGAAAAGCCCAGAGGCATTATTTGGAAATAATTGCACAAAGACTTACGTGGAGGAGGAGGAGGAGGAGGAACTGGATTGGACTCCTTAGTGTTTGGAACATTTTCTGAAACAAAACCATAAGTCACTAAGTCACAATGCATTCCATTTACGCAAGGGATCATCACACTCTCAGCAACAGAAGGGCATTTCTCTCTCTCCCTCCCTCCCCCCTCTCTCCCTTCCTTCCTCTCTTCCTCCCACCTCCCTCCCTTCACCCCCCCCTGTGTGTGTGTGTGTGTGTGTGTGTGTGTGTGTGTGTGTGCATTGTGCATTTGAGTATGGGTATGCAGGCTACTAGAGGCCAGAAGAGAGGGTTGGATCCCCTGGAGTAGTTGTGAGCCACCTGACTTGTACTGGGAACTGAGTTCTTGCTCTCTGGAAGATCAGCCAGGACTCTCTTAACTGCTGAGCCAACTCTCTATCCCCAAGCTCATAAACACCAAGTGAAACCACCAGCAATGTTCCTCTTAACATATCAAAAGCACATCTCACAAGTTTCAGGCATTGCGTTTTGCTAATGACCAATTACAGGGGCTCTCCAACTTGAAGGAAAGTTGAAGGCAAAGCACCTCAATTTAAGGTCTTTGGTTCTGACAGTGCTTGCATGTATTCATCTTTATAGTTACCTATACAAGGGTTCAACACCTTCAATACCATGCTTCTCTAATACATTCACAATGCTGGTCCCCCTTTTAAATATTAAGAATCTAGGGCTTTTAGCCATAGAAGCACAAGTCTTTAATCCCAGAATTTGAGAGGCAGAGGCAAGCAGATCTCTCTAGTTTTGAGGCCGAGTCTGGTGTGGTCTACATAGTGACCAGGGTTTCAGAACAGCCAAAGCTACATAACTTCATTTCTTACCTCCTGAACTACAGGGTTTAGTTTTGCTCTGTTCCTCGCAAAACCATGTTCCAAATATTTTCCCCTGCACAATTCTCCCAAAGTGAATTCTCCAGAGCCCATTCCTGCCCCTCAGTGATTCCTCATTGTGTACAGAAAAAACAAATTCAGTCTGTCTGGCGTGAAACACAGCCCCTTCACTGATGCTGGTCCTTCTCCTTATTTAATGCCCCCTCTGTCTTTTCTCTGTCTCCTATTCCATCATACTTTATAAGCTAGTCCCTGGTTCTCTCCTTCAGGGCTGGCCTCTCCCACAGTTGCTCATCCCACCCCTTTTCTGTGACACAGGTCACATTCTAACATGCTAGGGTGGCAAGGGGCATAGAGGGTCCCAACACTTTCTTGTCTTGCCTTTAGAGGAAGCTTTAGAGTGGCATAGAATCAGACTTCTAGGAATGCTTGGTGAAGGATGATTAAAATGCTGACACCCTTTTGGAAAATGGAGGAAACGAGAAACAAAATGACCAAAATACTTTTGTGTTTCAATGGTTTTGCAATCCTTCACGTTCTTATAATGCCACAAGGTCAAGGTTTTAAATGATGCCAAACCCAGTCCTTTGAGGGAGTCAGAAAAAGAATTTGCAATTACTATTTTAAAAATGAGCAGCCTGAGGTTCTGATACCCTGTGACTAGCCCAAGTCCACAGCTGGGAAGCATCAGGGAAAGGCTTGAACCACAATTTCTGACTACTGCTTCAAGGGCTCTTCTGGAAGGGGGGTGGTCCCTGCCCTTAGCTGGGGGAGCTCTGATTTAGTAACTCCTTATGCACAGTACTTGCTGCTCTCCACAGAGACAAGCCTAAACTAGAATGAGGACGCTGTGGCTTGAGATGGAAATTTGTAATTTGAAATGATTTATTCAAGAAAGCAAAAGAAGAATATTGCATGAGGTGAAAATTACATGAAATTCAAGTTTGTCCCATAAGCAATGTTCCATGGTCATGCACAGTGCATGTGATCTACAGCCATTTTCCTGCTGGGGCAGCAGGACTGGACACTTGAGAAAGGGGCTGGATTGTCCCCAAACCAAATACATTATCTATCCAGCTTTCTAGAGAAAAAGAGCCCCTGGCTTAGACACCTTTCTCATCAGAGTTTAAGAGTCATGTGTACTCAGCACCTCTCCGAGTCAGCTTCATCACCAGTCAAAAAGGACATATTCTGAATGTATAGCAGAACAACAACAACAACAACAAAAAAAAACCTTGTGAGATTTAGAGCAAAATAATGCAAGTTGGCCTTTAAAATAAAAGTAAATAATAAGGTTGATAGATAGTGTGAAAGGAGATGGGATTCTAAGTTGTTTTTTTTGTTGTTGTTGTTGTTGTTTTTTTTTTTTTTTTTTTTTTTTTTTGAGATGGGGTCTCTCTTCTTGCTGTCCTGGAACTCCCTCTGTAGATGAGGCTGCCCTCCAACTGGCAGAGATCTGCCTGCTTCTGCCTCCCGAGTGCTGGGATTAAAGGCATGTACCACCACCACATGGCAAATTCTAAGTTCTTGGGGTTGTCCATCTCAATTGGACCAAGTCCAGTTTTGAGAAGTAATCAGTAACTGTATGGATCCCTGAATCTGAGCATCATGGTGGTCCTTTGGTGGGGATACATTCAAGTTATATTTCAATACAATCACTAAGGAAATGAAGGTGTTTTTATACATTAATTCAGGGACTAGGCACAGTGTGTAATCCTATAATCCCAACACCTGGGAGGTGGAAGGAAGCAGGATGACTGAGTTTGAGGCTATCTTTGACACACAGTGGCATCAGGCCAGTCTGATGCACTTAATGACAGCCTCTCTGTGATGAAGAATCTCACTGAGGGACTGTCTATATTTGGTGGCCTGTAAACATGTTTGGGGGGAGGGCTATTTATTTTAAGACAATTGATGTGGGAAGATTCAGCCCAGTGTGGAAGGCCCTACATTTGCATGAAATGTCGAAATGTAGCTGAATATAATAAGCAACCAGGCATGCGTACATTTCTCTCTGCTCTTGAGGGACCTAGGGTGTGATGTGACTACATGTTACAAGTTCCTGTCTTGAGCTCTTCCCAGTGATAGACTAGATTAGGATTACAAACTAAACAAACACCTCCTCGGCTATGTGGCTGTTTGTGTTTGAATATTTTATTATAGCAGCAGAAATGAAGCTAGAGCATAGTCTCTGAGAAAGAAAGATACAATGTAGTATGCAGAACTCACACTCACTAAATTAACTATAAAACACATTTTCTAGGGGCTAGAGGAATGGATCAGTGGTTAATGGACTGGTTGCTCTTCCAGAGGTCCTGGATTTGATTCCCAGCACCCACATGATGGCTCACAATTATTTGTAACTCTAATTTCAGGGGATTGGATGCCCTCTTCTGACCTCCAAGCACACCAGACAAGCAAGATGCATTTTCTGGTAAGATAATAGCTTAGTTGGTAGAGTACTTGCCTAAAATGCACTTCCCTGGTACGGACAATAATACTAACTCCTGACACTTGTAGATTTGTGTAATACATTATAGTAGACAAAGCCAACATCTCTTACATCATAGCCCTAGGAACTCTAAGAAGTGTAAGTGTCTAACCACAAAATTCATCTACTTTCAAGAAGTAACAGTTTGATTCACTGAACTAAGTGCAAAGACATTTTAAGGTCTCAACTGTGTGCATCACACAAGAAATATATACACACTTTTGAGAAGAGTTCCCAAAGTAGTTTAAAAATAATTCTCCCTGAGGGAGACCTCACATCTAAGAATTTGGGTTTTATGGCAAGGCCTTTGTGATGGATGGTATTGTTTAAAAGTTCTTAATGGATCTATGCTGTGATCTAAGACTCTCCCCTCACCCCCAAATAGGGCCCTCCCAGAGAGCTAAACAGAAACATCCATGCCTTATTTCCTTGTGTCAAACCTCCTCGTGACCATTCCAGAGATTACCCTCTAGCAGTTCTTATTCCCCAATTCCCCATACCATACACCTCTTCCAGAGCCCTGTAACTGAACCTGCCTACTAAGAACAAAGGAGCTGCCGTATTTACTTAGGGGGTTAAAACTGTTAGGAAGGAATCCTACATATTGCTATAAAGAGAATCTTAACAGTGAATTTCTTTTCAGAAAGAATACACTATAATCAACATTCTGGATCAAATCTTTTCACATACTCTGGACAAGTTTTGGTTTACCTTTAGAACCAAACTCTCCCTCTTCAGATCATGACGCATGGCTTTCACCAACTGGCATGTCTGGGGTACGTTATGCATGAGTAAATGCATAACTGACCACACGGCTTTTGGCCTCCAGTTTTAATGGGGTTCTAGTAAATACTTCAGGCCTGAAAAGACCCACAAAGAAACACAGTATCAAACTGGCACACACTGGGGTGGGGGTGAGGACAACTTTGTGTGGCTATTGGAAAATGTTTATTTCCAAACTAACTTGTCTGATTATGGCTCCTTGCATTGCCTATTAACTTATCTACTCACGAGGGGGGGGGTGGTGAGGGGATGAGGGCAGGGGGCTCTTTGGAAACATGGAGACTTCTAGAATCATAGTGAATTGTCACAGCTTGGTTGGGGGTGGACACCAGCATCTACTGGGTAAAAATGAAGGATGATGTTAAATATCCCACATCAGAGTTATCCAGCCCTAGGTGGATGCTATTCCGAGTGAGAAGTATGTAAATGTGGTTTTAGAGTAAACAACCCAACATATCATTTCATGTTGTATTGCTGGTTCTCCCCCCAGAAGCCAAACACTACTCTGAGTGGTGCCTAAATGGATCTAAGCACTGGTGCCCTCCTGAAGACCTTCTGACTTCCCCTTCTAAAACAGGAGAAACAGGGACTCACTATGTAGGCCCTAGCCAGCCTGGAACTCACAGAGTTCCTGCTTCAGCCTCCCAAGTGCTGGGATTAAAGGTGTGTGCCACCATGCTCAGTCTTCTCCTCAAGATCCTTTGATGCTTCATAAATTTCAGAGGCATCTCCTGTGTTAACTGATGATCAAACTGTTTGGTGGTTTCCTTCCATATAAATGGGCCACAGGAAGTGGTCAAACAATATTCACCACAAATATGTAGTTGCTAAAACTGGATGGTGTTTTCCTGGAGGGCTCATTCTATTTTTACATACATTTAAAATCTTCTAAATAACAGGTTTTCAAAATGTGAAGCAGCTATAATAATGAGAGTTGTTGTGCACCCTGCTCCCTCAGTGACCAAGTACCTAGTTCTGTCTTCACGTTCCTACTCTCTTCTCTCATTTCATCCTTAACCTGAGGACAAACTGTGCGTGTGTGTGTGTGTGTGTGTGTGTGTGTGTGTGTGTGTGTGTGTGCGCGCGCGCGCGCACACACACACGGAGAGAGAGAGAAGGAGAGAAAGAAGGGAGAAAGAGAGAGGGAGAGAGGGAGGGGGAGAGAGAGAAAGAGAGAGAGGGAGAGAGAGATGAAGAGAGAGAGGAAGAGAGGGAGAGAGAGAAAGAAAAAGAGAGGGAGAAAGAGAGAGGGAGGGAGAGAGAGAAAGAGAGAGAGGGAGAGAGGGAGAGAGAGAAGGGGAGAGAGAGGGAGGGAGAGAGAGAGAGAAAGAGAGAGGGAGAGAGAGAAAGAGAGAGAGGGAGAGAGGGAGAGAGAGAAAGAGAGAGGAAGAGAGAGGGAGAGAGAGAGGGAGAAAGAGAAAGAGAGAGGGGGAAAGAGAGAGGGGAGAGAGGGAGGGAGAGAGGGGGAGAGAGATAGATAGATAGAGAATTTTTGGTTCTGGAAAATCCAAACGTGTTCCAAAATGTCACGCCTCTTTTACATTAACTTCCAACTGACATTCGAAACTGTTTCCCAATACTCCTTCCTCTCCTGAAAGACCCCCAGTTTGGCTTAGAGGAAAAGGAAGAAATCCACATTTACTGAGTGCTTTTATTTTTAAGTGTGGAAAAAAGCCAGAATTCTGAAAGTTTAACTTGCTAGGAATTAAAAGCTGAATGTAAATCATGGCAAGTTGGGAAACCTGCCAATATTCTGAAGTATTTCAGCAACGATGGCAGGATGGCACCACCTCAACTATTTTAATTGTTTTGCCATAAACCGTAATATGCACCAGCTATTCATGTTTTCTGCTTTTGTGTGTGTTTAAGTCATAAAGTCACAGAATGTCTGAGTCTGCACTTTTGAACACACCCTAACATTTTAACCTTGTCAAGAAGTGTGTTTTCCATTTTTCTCTCAATTTTTCATCTGACTTTCAGCCCATTGTCCTTAGGCTACTCGAGTACTGTCTTGATAGTAGTGAGTGGAACATGGGATGAGGGAGGGGAGGACCGGAAGGGAATGGAGGTGAGGAGGTAGCTCCTTATAGTCCTAGCAGTTATTAAAACCAACTACACATGATGGTTGGCAAAAGATGTAAAAGGAAAGGAACGGGTTTGAATCCTGGTTGGGTATACACGTTTGTTGCAGCTCTTTTTCTACAGAGCTGCTAAGAGAATTAAGTTCTATTAACACCCTAAGTGTTCAGCACAGGGCCTTGTGCAAGATAAATGCTTCATGAATGTTGCATCTCCATCACCATTTCTAGCTCCTCAACAGTCTAGCATCTTCATCTATTGCTGATGGTTTAAGTAGCATGATGATCAGCCAACACTGACTCCAAAGGACTCAGAAACCAAAGATGTCGATGACACTCACCACAGTCCCACTAAAAATGTTGGCCCACTCAAAGAACCTAGAATTTTTCATGTAGCTTTGGTGGCCTCTTTCCCTGCCCACAGAGGAAAAAACACTGCCTGAAGATGTCCTTATTACTGGTAGTGGCAGTTGCTACTCTCATCCTATATCTGTGGTCCCAGAAGACCCAACTGCAAAAAGAAAGATGGACAAAATGGCCAGGGATAGTTGGCTCTGTAGCAAGGACATCAAGAGGAACAGCACCTGGACGGTGAAGCTGCTGGGAAATCTTACCCTGCGGTTCATCCCCCACCTCCCACGGCCAGAAAGAACTAGTTACTATTACTTAAATAAGCCATTGCTATTGGGCCAATGGTCACCTGCCTTTTCCCAAAATATTCCAATGCCCTATGCAGCTGAGAGAAACAGATTTCAGTGACCTACACCAACAGAAAAGGTTTCAGAGCCAAAGAAAATAAACACAAAAGGTGAGGGGAAGTCAAGAGCGTAGGGAGGAGGGGGCAAGGGGGGTACTACCTATTCCTGCAAGGAAGACTTGTATATAGCCCCTTGGGAAGCACTGCAGTTCAACCTCCTCAATTTGTTTCACAAACCTAAGCAATAAACTATTCGCCCATTGCCTCTCCACTAAAATCTTACCTCAATTAGCGAATTCATGAAATTGCCTTGATGTCTGTTTAAAAAAAAAATCTTTCCTCTTGAACTTTTATGTAAAGAAAACACTGAACGTGTAGTATAATGAGTCTAAGTTTAAATAAAAGTAATTACTAAATATACAAGAGAAGTTACTTAGAAAAATACCACTGGAGGAGTTTTTTTTTTTTTTTTTTTTTAATGAAAGAATTGCTGGAAGTTATAGTGTTGTAATATTAATGCCTAAGTCTGGCACAGGGCACAACCAGCTGCTGCGTTCAATTACCAGCTGAAGGAGGACTCTCAAATAGGGTAAGGGTAAAGGATGGGGAGCGAGGTGGCTGCTGCTGTTGTTAACTACTTTTATAGCACAGAACACAGTCAGCTGTCGCCCAGCTATGAATTCTGTGCAACACAATGTATTCATATTCCTTTTCCCAACACTCAACAATGAGGGTAGCCGTATTTGAGTGAGACTGTCTATCATACCTTTCAGATGACCAAGAACCCAACGAGCCAGTTCATGACACAGACCAATGAATATCTGGTCTGTCCACTCTGAGTTTAGGAAGGGTGCTTCTCCCAAAAGCTCTGCCGAGTCTTGGGGCTGGAAGGGCTTCCATGTGTCCCCTGTTCTAACCTCCCCTCTCCAGATGCAGAACACGAAACCAGGAGGTAGTGAGTGTGCTTGCCACAGCCAGTTGGGTATGTAGGGAGCAAGAGGGTGCCCTAAACTTCCGGGTTGTGAGGTAGTTCCCTGCTCCGTGCCTTCCTGCCTTTTGGAATGGCCCCGCTTCCCCCCCCCCCTCCTTTTTTTCCTTTTACAAAGGCCACAACCTTACTGGGAGACTGGTCAGCACCCACCTGCCCCTTCCCTGGTAGCTCGCAGCTGCTACAGAGCTGCCTATTGCTTAGACCTGCCAATCTCAGCCCCAAAGCACCATCCCAGAGGCACTCTAAACCCATGTCTGGTGCCAGCACCAGTCACATGCCCAGCAGCCAGGGCCAAGCTGCCCACTGGCTTTTGCTAGGCGTCTCTCTGTCCTTCAGCATGGCGGGACACGGTCTGAGATTGCACTGCTGGGATACCTTACTCGACAAGCTTGACCTCCCCTCTCACCGCCAGCCTTTTCTCAGCCTGACACCCTTTGACAGCAAGGCTTCCAGACAGCCATAGGCTGTCTCTAACAGGGAGGATTGTAACTCCACAGATCACCCATAGGACATGTGGTCCCAACCATCAGCTGTTGACACATCCTGGCTTACTCATGCCCCTGGTGCTGTGATGTTCTCCTGACAGTCCTTGGGAATCCCTGCGGGTTGTCTGTCCCTGCCTGTCCTTCCGGTGCTGACACTACACATTTAACAGCGTGCCCTCTCCCCCCGGGTCTCCTATTCAACACAGCTTGGTGAGCACTCTTACAGGAAGCCACGGAAGCCCTGGATATGAGAGGGAGCAACAAAGTTCTGAAAACTTTTTTTCTGCCAGTATCCCTAAATGGATAATGATCACAGATTATAACTGTTGCCTAAGGTATCTATGGTTTTGATGAAGGGTTATTGTAGCTTGGAGCCAGCAGAACTGTGAGCACGGAAACCTGGACTGTGAAGACTGCAAGTCCCAACATGCCACCAACTCACAGCAGCACATCTGAGCATAGTGGAGGGGAATATGGCAGAGCCAGCCTTTATGATGACCTAATTTTTTTGTGGTGATGGAACCCAATGTCTCTTGGGGCATGAATTATTTTCTAAATTGACCAGCCTTTCACTTTTTTTTTTTTAACATTTATATGTTCATTATAAATGGGTATATGTGCTTGAGCATGTGTGTACCATAGAACACATGTGGATGGATATCAGAGGACAATTTGGGGAAGTCAGTTTTCTTCTACCATGTGAGTTCAAGGATCAAACTCAAGTAGTCAGGTGTCAAGGCAAACACTTTAACCTGCTGAGCTATCTCACTAGCCCTGATTTAGCTTTTGAATAAAACTCGGCTTCCATTTACAGAACTAAAGATTTAAAAACAAACAAACAAAAAACCATTTATTTATTTATTTTGGTTTGTGGAGACAGGGTTTCTCTGTAGCTTTGGAGGCTGTCCTGGAATTCACTCTGTAGACCAGGCTGGTCTCAAACTCACAGAGATCTGCCTGCCTCTGCCTCTACCCTCCCACCCCCAGTGCTGGGACTAAAGGTGTGCTCACTACCACCGCCCAGCTGAAAACATATTTATTACTCTGTGTGCATGTGCATATGTGTCACATCATGCAAGTTAAGGTCGGAGGAAATTTATCACTGTGTGTGTAGAGGCAAGTGAAGGTCAGAGGAAACCTTACTCTGTGTGTCTATGTGCATACTTGTGTGTATACGTGTCATACTGTGTAAGTAAAGGTCAGAGGAAACTTATTCCTCTGTGTGTCCATGTGCATGCATGTGTGCATATGTGTCATGCCATATAAGTAAAGGTCAGAGGAAACATTACTATTTGCATCCATGTGCATGTATGTGTTCATACGTGTCATACCATGCAAATGAAAGGTCAGAGGAACATTGCAGGGGTCATCTCACCCCTCACCATGCGGTTTTTGGGGATCTTTCCGAGAGCAGGACTTAGGCCCCCATTCTTACCTTTATAATCTGCTTGGTGGACCACAGCCAGGGGCTTTGTAAATGTCTTCTTATTCTGCATCATGGTCCAGATCATGGCAGCATCCAGAGAGGTGCAAGCCTCGTCAGGTGTCACACACTGCAGAGAGACCGCGTATGTCAGTCATGGCTCATAGGAAAGTTACCAGGCCTGCACATGGTTGTCTTCTGGCCACTTATCAGATAGCTCACAGCCGCTAACCATGGGTAAAGCAGGAGATCTGCGTGCTTTTCAAAGGACCCTAAATACTCACGCAGCCAGCAAGGCAGGCCCAGTATGTTTTCAGCTGCACTGGAAGATGCAGATATCAATGGACAGCTTACAGTATTGAGAATTTTCAGGGTTAGTTAGAGAACTACATGTGTGATGCTCTTGGACATGTACAATAATGGTCTCATATAAATGGTTTGTGATAATGTCTATAATCAGAGACTGTGGGAAACTGCATTTATTGTGTTACAAACATGATAGAATTTATATTATCTAAAATGATAAGCGTATTATCATGTTTGTCAGATTTTGTTTTTTCACTCTACAAAATTAGGCTTCCCACAATTACTGTTTGTTTTGGACTTTTTTCTCCTGCTGCAGACATTTGATCTGGTACCTTACACATGCTCAATGCATGCTCTAATGTGTCACCCAGGCATGGAAGTATGACACCAGCAGTTTCTAGCTATTTTAAGTCTTGAAACTAATCAGGGAGATGTTGGGGGGGCACATCATATAGGAAGAAGTGTATGCTTCTGTGGGCCACATACAAACCAGATACACATTGTAAACAGACACCGCTCCCCTAACACCCTGAATAGAATTTTCCTGGAGGGGGAAAGGCATGTTATTGTGGCAAGGCATGTTGTTGAAAAGAGGTGTAGTTCACTTCACATTTTTCTTTTACTGTCTGGTTAGCCCTCCAGTCAAATAAGAACGCACGATGCTAACTCTGTCTCAGAGGCTGACCTGGGCCAGACTTAACTCACAGCAAAGGACGGGATTGGGCTTGGTGATCATTATTAGCACCTTTCCTAGAAAGTACTCGAGCATCACTAGGAATAGGGAAACGCTTCCTTTAAGAGCTAGGTGGCATTAACAGTCCCTCCTCAACATGCTCATTACACACACCTGCTGCCTCTTTCCTACTTCTGCCCCGAGGGACATGCAAGCATTGTTACTTTCTTTTCTAGACAAGGACTAAGGCGGTAGTGGTTCCACAAGCAAACATGTGAGCGGGCCCTTTGGATTTGTTCCCTGGGGTTGGTAATTTGCTGTGCATTTATTTGTAGACAAAACTCAAATCAACAACTGCTCAGGGAAATGACTCAAGGAATTCAGGCCAGAGGAAATCTCTTTAATAGATTTTTTTTTTTCCTTTTTTTGTCCTTCCCTACTTTTTCTTCCAGTCTCTATATAAGAGAATTCCATAGATATAAATGCTACAGCCTGACTCGGCATTTCTGAGACATCAGTGGATCTGTGATTACAAGAAAAGTAGAATCCAGTTTAGACTGTGTGTTAACAGCTACAGAATTCACACACAGAGGAAATTAGAGGCAATCATATCAGGTCATGGAAATGAAGTGACAGCAGGTTACCTGTCCCACACAAGGCAGACCTAACACAGTGTCATAATTGACCCAACAGAGCCCCTGCAGTGGCTGCTCCAACAAGGTCAAAGGGTTTTGATTTCTGTTATGGTAACAGAACATAGCAGTTTAATATGGGCAATGGCATGAGGCAAATACGATGAACTGATAAGAAACCAGGCAAAAGTAAAATATTTGTTAATTTCCCTTATGAATTCTCCTGAGATAAGGCCATCTTGTAACTCACACAGAGAAGGTCAAAAAAACAATTGCAATCCCAGTCTGAGTGGGACCTGGAAAAATTAATCCTCACTGATCTTGTCCTTTCCATCCCTTGTTCTTCTGCCACGGCATGCTATCTGACCAACAGCCAGGGCCAGGCTTCTCTCTCACTGGAAACCAGTCCTGATTTATCACTCTGAGGGTACAGCTAAGCACATATGGAAAAACAAACTACCTCGCTGTCGGGATTTATCTTCCAAAACCCCAAAGCACTTCATTCCCTGTTCAGACTGTTACTTCAATCAGAAGACTTCAAAAAACTCAAAACTAAAACCTCAGCCTGACATAACTTGGATTACACTTTCATATCTGAGTATCTCTTGACCTAAATGTGCCCAAATCTCAGTCCAGACAGACAATAGCCTGCTCACCTTTGGCAGCTTCTGGGGACCTTTTCTTGTGGTGCACAGTGTCAACTCGCACTGTAGAAAGAGCAGGGAGGTGTTGAACATGGGCTTGAAGACAAAGCTGAAACGTTTCTTGTCCACCTCAGCATGGGGGATGGGGAAGTGCACTCTCCTGGAGCTGTAGAATGTCACAGACTCATCTTTTGGACAGATGTTCTCAATGATGGTGTAATCAGACATCCTGTCCGGGTTTGAATACGGAGAGACAAAGCAGGTCTGGATAGCAAACCCCAGTTCTTGGTCAGCCTTGGTGACAGATACCTGCAAAGGGAACAGACAGACCAAGTCACAAATGGCTAGCATTTTATTTTACTCTATCTGCCCAGATAATATCCCAGGATAGTTCTTTGGGTGAGACATCGCTCTGTTCTCATAATGTATTTGTAATTTTCCAGCTATAACAGTAAACATACACTGGTTAATGGAAGGTGTTTCCTATTTAAATTCAACATGAATGACAGCAAATCATTTAATTCAATTGTACCCTACAAGTTACAAATACAATATAAGATGGGTTAAATCTCTCTGACCCCCTCTATAACTCCTCAGAGATATAAAAAATAAAAGCAAATTATGCACCAAAGTGGATTTTCCAAAATAAGTAAAATACAGGTAAAGCCCTTAATGTCACAATAGCAGACTATTACCAAGACTTTTTCTTTTTTTAATGTTGCCCAATAATAGTTCAGGACAGAGGGGAATGCACATGGCTGAGACAGGCAGGGCAACTTGAAAAAGCAGAGCAGAAAGTCATCTATGCATCCCTCTTTGTCAGTGTACAGGCCTGTGGTACCTTGTACCGGGGACAGTGTGACCTGGTGGCCATCACCAACCTGGCACCAAACTGCCTTGCCAAGAATTCTCCCGTCATTCTTTAATCCCAGGGTGGGAGTTAAAGGGAAAACTAACCTAGAGACATCCCCAACTCTTACAAAACATGTGTGTGCATCGTGTCCAGGTCTTGTTAAGGTTCTTTTGTTTAGACACTGGGAGGAAAGCTTAGCCAAATGTGAACAGCATTCAAACCTTAGCTGTCCTGAACTCTGTTAAAATCCCTGGACCAAGACTGGACTCACTGTTTGACACATGATGTGCTGTGTGAACTGCTCTTCTGACTTTGTTGCCTCTTTCCTTGACTAAATTAAGGCTAAACAATAAACTTAAACACTTTAGAAACAAAGTTAGTTCTTACCCAGAGACCAAGAGCCCCCAAATGCTTAAAAAGACAGAGGTAATAAACTTTGCATCTGGAGCCCACCCAGGGGAAATTCCTGACACTGCAGGAACTCTCAATCCCTAGCATGCCCAAAAGATCCCCCACTGGTAACCAGGAGAGCTTCACAAGGGTGAAGCTAAGTATGATATGTCCCCTTGTTTAAAGTTCCATGTTTACTTTTCACTATCTTTGAGTTATTTCTTACGAACAAGATATTCAACCTTACAGATGGTAAACCATATACATGACACAAATGTCATTTAACATGAACTCAGTCTTCAGTGTAAAATATGTTGAACCTTTTCTTTCAAAGGTATGTGATGGCAGAATATCCGTTTAGACTGTCTCACAGATGCTTTGGAGGAGAAAAAAAAAATCTTAGCAGCTCTTGCTGCAGAATGGATGGAAGTGAATGGTTTTATTATAGGTTTGGGAATGAGACCAGACCAAGGCAACCACATGCTCTGTCGCTGATGTGCACACCCAAGATGATGGCAGTAATTAATGTACAAGACACAGTTAGTAAGAAAAACAGAAGTAAAGGGTTTACGAAAACAACTCCGCTCCCAGCCAGCAAGAACTCCCATTGCTAGTTGTGTTGGTAGATGCTAACTCACTAAGCCAAATGATCTGAAAGGAACAAGTGCCATCATATCACCTACGATCACCCAGGAATGACTATCTTGGACTAAGGCTAGGAACTGTGGTGTAAAGGGTGTGGAAGGTTCCAGAAAAGGCTAAGGAGGGAAGCTGGAGAAGAAACGGTTTTTTCATATTAACCCAATGATTTATGAAGTTTTATTTTACTTAAAAAAAAAAACAAAAACAAAAACAAAAAAAACCTCTTACCAGAGGAAGAGTCTAAACAGAAAGACAAGGCATGATCAGTTGCTATCCTATTTAGCAAAACATTTATAGATCTTTCATATTTGGGTAGTTTCAATCAAGTTTAAAATTGTTTATAACAATTCCACAGGCCCAAATCCTTAACATACTTGATATTTAAAGCATACCTTTTCAATCAAATTTAACTATACAGATATGATATATGAAAAGATATAAAACAGAAAATAAGAGTGAAAATGAAAAAGGTAAGGGAGAGGGAATCTGTCAATAATGTAATTCAAGTAAGCCAGTACTCCAGGAGCAAGGAGAAAAAACTGAAAATATTCAGGGTAGGACACAGAAGGCAGATTACCACTGGATAGCATAAGTCAGCAAAGCCATCCATGAGCAGATATAGGCATATATTTGGAAAAGAGCAAACCTCAGTGTCTTCTCCAACCTATGGCATAGTTGGGAGTCACTGACTAATGATGTTTGTGGACCATGAAGACAGAAAAGGCACAAGAAAAGAGAATGTTTGTTAGGAAGGGCACACACAGGGCAGGGCCTTCCCCCAGAGCCCTGAGTAGGAGGGAGGAACCCATCCCAGACTCCAGTATGACTGAAGAGAACCTGGAGGGCCACCTGGCTGACTCCAACCTGGTGTCAATGTGCACTGTTTGTCTTTGCAAAACAAAGGCGCCCTGCTCTGCAGTAACTGTCACCTACAAAGTTTGCCACTTGTACTCCTTAAGTGTCTCACCCCTCCCTCTGTGAAGTACAATGGCAGTCAGCTGCTGTGCCAGAGCCAGATTGTCACACAATGCCTTTCAGCAACAACAGTAGACACTGTCCCCATGGGGACATTACAGACTACATTCAGAACACACACACATAGCAGACAGACAGTCTGTCTATCTGTCCATCTTCTCCAGAATGGAGTCTGTGAACTTAGATACTGACATTGATATGAAGTTATGTTTTCTTCCCTTTCAAATGGCAATTCGAGAGGCAGTTACAATAGCACCTGGCGATCAATAAATAGCACAGCCTCCTCTGGAGGAAGGCTGGGTACAGACAGCTTGTCTTAATTTTCTCATCTATAAGCTGGATCTTAATAAGTCCACTCTTACAGGACCCCTCTAACGAGTCAGTTCATTCTGATAATATTCATAACTGCATTTGGTACATCGTAAAACTGTTATAAATATTAGCTGTTATTGTTTTATTATTACCACCATTATCTGATATTTTCATTGACATTACAGATGTAGGCTACCCATGATGGTTGCTGTTCTAGATTGTAAGCGGTTTTGGCAAATTTGTGAGGCAGAAACAATTTTCACAAGCACACAGCTTTTTCACTTGAAAGTAAATCTAAGATGAAGTGTGAGGTGATTTGAAAATGTGCACGGCTAACTCTGACACTGAATGACTGAATGACATGTCCCTGAAGTGTTGATGTCAAAACAAGTAGGGTACTTTACTGGTAGAAGAAATGATTTGCTCATTGTTTTCTTTTTGACATTTACAAAAACAAAACAAAAAACCCATTTAGCATAATCCATACAATGCTGATATTTCTCTTTTTTGTCAGAAAGTGGCCTGGAAGAGTTTTTCTGAGCCAAGCCCTTTCTTAGATGGAGGGAGAGACTGTGCAAGGCTCTTCAGCTGATGTTCCCGGAACAGCATAGGGCACTAGGCTGGACACCCAAGGCTAACGCTCCATTCTCACCTCAACATAAACACGTCCGTTCTCTGCCACAGAGAAGACCCCAGGGGAGGGCACCAGAAAGAGGTCTGTGTTGTACAGCTCCATGTTGAAGGTGATATTTCCATCGATCTGGTCCTGGAAGCCACTGGGATTCCTCAGCTGCCGCAAGCTGCAGTTAAACTGGAAAATCACCAAACAGATGAGGCTAACTCAGTCATATGATGAGCTCTGGCCTTTTTGCATGCAATTTTATGTTTTGACAGTTCCCAATGAAAACAAACAAATGAACAACAATGTTATCCACAGAAAACCTAAGGGAACTCATCACATACCACCACAACTCCAGCTTGGCTCAGCGGGGCGATCTCTTCATCTACATCTCCTGGGAATCCATTTTCACCTGACTCCAAGTCCTCTAAGCCATCTGGCCAGCCACTGCTGTCCCCAGGGGATGGAACCTGTATCACAATCTAGAAGGCAGGGGACACACAGCTATTAGCTCTATTGGTAGGGAAAACACCACACCACACACCTCTGTGCCCGTGTAACAAGCACAAACAGAAAATCTGACTATACAAGCAGCAGCAAGAACAAATTCTTCAGGCTCTTCAGAATGTTTATCCTCAAGACAAGAAATATGTGATAAGAAAATACAGAAAAGCTCAAAACAAGCTGAAGATCTGAACTAAATTTTGGATTTCTTTCCTTGCAAAAATTTACAGATTTATTCATAGTACTATGTTGGATTATTATAAGTTACTTCAAGTAGTGGCTACACTATGTTTTGAAGTAGAGTTGGAGGCTGCCAACAGGTTTGCCATACCTTGTGGGTCCTCAGGCACTTTTTAATTTGTATCAGTTTTTACTCCTTTTACAATGTATGAATCACAGTTTGTGTGTGTGTGAGTAATCAGAACGGTTTGGTTTCCCAGTCAGTTTCCTCCTTTTGCCACACAGGGGTCCCAGGGCCTGGCAGCAGGTGCTTTACCACTGAGCTGCCTCACTTTCTCCACTTGGCCCTTTTAAGGGTTGTAGAAGTTTGGTTTAAGTTAGAAGCATGGCACCTATATTTCCATAGACTAGTTTTGTCATTTTTAGCAGTCCTTCCCACTGTCTTTTCTTGTGTGTATGGGTATAGAAGAGAATGTTCTTTACAACAATCTGTCTTAACACTGGCTGAAATTATCGTACTGGGTTGGTTCTGAATAAGATGGAAAGGGTGACCAACAGATAAAACCCTAATTTATCTCTATTTCATATACTTGAATTGTGAACCCAGTGGAAATTAAAAACACATAGGAAGTCTGGAGATTCTTACAAGTTGTCACGACATTCACAGAAGGAGACAGAATGGGAGGAGTAAGAAGCCATTGGGCATGGGGGCATCTGAGCAAGTACCTGGAGAATAATTCATACATTGCTTTTAACAGTCAAGAAAATAAAAGCATTCCAGAAAGAGCTGACTTTTCGGACCAGGATATCCTTTTTTCTCTTGAAGCAACAAACTTTAAACTAAGTAGATCACCATTTCTTCCCAGTGCTAATTTGGAAATCAGTTTAAAATATCCAAGTCAAGTACATCACTATCACATGTCACTCACTATGTCTGGGACAGGGGTTGGGTGTTTTAAAAATAAAACTGCAAAACTGGTATTTTGAATCATTTATGAGGAGATTTCACACTATAGATTCTCTTTTGTCCACCATCTAGTCTCTCCCATCTCTGAAGCGAACAGGTTTCGCCTGAAAAGATTTTGCTCTGGCAGAAATGATATCGAGAAAGTACGGGTGAATTATGCAATGGATTATTTGGGAGAGGGGGTGAGGAGGGGCACTTGTGGAACCTTTTGCCAGTTAGCTCCAAAAATAGTTTCTTAAAATTGGGAACTCTCTTAGAAGTAGAGAGAATTGATAATTTCAAAGGATTCTTTTCTGGTTTTAAGGTCACAAGGGAAGGCATCTCCTCTCGCTTTTGAACAAGCAAGAGATGCATCCGTCCAGAGATGCTCATGGATAACCTTGGGCTTTGGGATTTTAGTCCCAGAAAGACCAGTCTAGTTGAGCCTCCAGTGTGACCACAGCAGGATGGCACAGACACAGGCACAGTCCTAGTGAACCACCATTAGATGGGAGAAGGAAATGTGTGAAAATACCACAGCTCCAGCTGAGAAAACAGGACCTTCAGATTCCAAAGACTCACTGGTGAATCAAAATAGTAAGAGCCCAGGGTCAAAGTCCATCCCAATGTCGTAGAGAACCTACATCTGGCGCTATCCCCATCCCCCTCATCGTCAGAGACATGTTACAACCGACACTAAGCAATATCCACCGATGCCAGTTACTCACCGAGTTATAGTAAACCACACCATCAGGGGCTGACCGCCTGTGTCGAGTGCCACAGCCATTCAGGGGAGACTCCAAAACAAAGTGGGTACCATTCATCTTGGCTTTGCATGAAGGATCCAACAGGGTGAGCTCCATCCCTGAGTAGCTGTTGGTCTGCAATGGAAAACACCAAAGGCAATAGTGGGGGACTTGACAGCTGTTCAAGCGTACACAGTTAACAGTAGTATCTACCTCCCAAGGCAGAGGTAGCTCATAGGCCTGTATCGTACCCCTCCCCCCTCCCACTTTTCCTCACCCACCACCTGTCAACAGCCCAAGGACTGTGCTTATTGGCACTGAAAATTTAATAGCAAAATATTGACATATGAGGATATGAACTCCTCTTCTGAGAACAACAGGAAGTGAACAATGGCTGTCGCCAAGGGGAAGTGGCCTATCCAACTGGGGGGAAAAACTATCAAGTGGGTTCAAAAGTGAAATAGCTACAGGGAAATAACCCTGAGTTGCAGCTAGCTGGGGGAAGTTTCTTTAAGAGACTCCACTGACCCACCGACCTGGAAGGAGTCTTTGTCCACAGCTACAGTCATCTTTTCGCTGTCACACTGGACTGACACAGCCACATCCACACTCCCTTGCGCCTCTTCTGGCTCTCTGTGGTCAGGGAACAGTGGAACACCGGCAGAGGCAGGGTCCTTTGGAAGGGGAATCCTGTCTTCTCCCTCCTTCCAGCCTCTCCGGGGGATATCCGGGAAAGGAAAGGGGAGATCTCCATTTTGGCCTCCCCCTCCCCGGATGGGTGGGTTGTCCGGCCTAGGCAGGTGGCCAGGGCCCAGCAGGATCTGAAGCTCTGGAGGAGCAGTACAGACTTCCTGGTCTCTCATCTCCTCTGTGGAAACAGAAGTCAAAGTGTCAAGAGTGGCTGATGCCAGGCCATATCATCATTAGAGTCAGGGGTTATCACTGAATGGACAGGAACAAAATTAAGAGTGAGTGAGCAAGGTGTAGAATTGACTAAGAAAACACGGAAACCTGAATTCTGATCCTGGTGTTCTAACTAGCTGAATGGCTTCAGACACATGACTTACTTCTCTTGTGACTCAGTTTCCCAGGTTTTAAAGTGTAAGAGTTCAGATTATAACAGTGATCCCCAACTTTGGCTTCACGTTAAAGTCACTTTGGGACTTTGTAAAAGAATGCAAACCTCCAGGTAATGTTTCAGGCTTCTAGAGTGATGGCAATGCTCCTTCAAAATTGAGACTGGTTTGCTAGATGATTTCTAAGTCCCCACAAGCCATGAATCTGTGCTATGTGGGGCAATAACAGGCTATGCAATGGTCCTTAAAATATTAAAATACTTCCTTTTAACCCAGGGGTTTTAAAATCATTTCTCCAAAGATTTCTTGAAACAATATTGCATTGTTTATATTATATTTTACAGTACACAAGCATTAAGCCCAGGTCCCTTAGTGTATTTTGAGTCCTCTGCTCCTGTGACAATGCTGTTTTAGGATTATTTTGCTGCCTTCCTTAATTGATAAAAATTTAGGAGATATCCAGGTACCCTGGTGTTTTTGAGCCTCATCTCTGAGAGAGTAGGGCCGCTTAGAGAAAGTTCCATAAAAGCAATGTTCAGCGTGGCCATATTTTTAATAACTGAAGAAGAAACTAGTGTTTCCCCCAGAATTCTCTGCATCCAGAGTTATATGAGTCCAGCTGATGTATGCTTAAGGCCACACCCACCTCAGGGCAAGATACGCAGAGATGATTAATGGACATGGCCTTTTGAAAAGGATGCTATAGCTATATGGGTCCAAATGAAGCCACAGCTTTGGAGTGTTTTTAACCTGCACACTGATAAAGACCAAACAAAATAAAATGACAATAACCCCTTCCCCCCCAAAAAATATGGTAACCCAGTAGGATAGATGTAATTTTTTTTCTTTACTATTGACTAGGAATCTGAGGCTCAGGATTGGAGGTTAAGCAATGCCTCCCCTAATAATAAAGAAATGGTAAAAGCTGGATGGAAACCTACAGCTGGAAGCTACAGTGTATCAGAACTGCACACATGATACCATGCAGTGAGAGAACTTGGGGTTCAAATCACACCTGCTGTAAGACTCCAGAAACTTCCAAGGGCCTGCTGCAGCCATCCTATCTACTAGCCAAACTAGAGTGGCAATTCTGCCTCCACACCCTGAATAAAACCTCTCCCTATCCACGCCCCCATGGCTATTTTCCTGTAAGCTTCAGCTTTTGCTACAGGCTTCTTCCTGATGGTCTCAGCTCTGAGTGGTCTCTGGTCACTGACATAATCTCAGAGGACAAAGAACAAAAGTGCCTGACATGCAACCCACTCTCCATCACTGAATGTATGTGCTACAGTTGCCTCTAATACCCTCATAAGTTTAAGTTTTACAGTGTAACACAGTCAAATGAATTATCAAAATGGACAGCAGAAAAAACAAACACTCATATGGAAATGAGAGTCTTTCACAGAAACACTTCTGATGGGGGCTGTCCTTTTGTATATGTTTCTCTTATTGGTTGATGAATAAAACACTGTTGGGCCAATGAAGCAGTAAGATAGGCTAGATTACGAGAGGAAAATTCTGGGAAAGGTAGACAAGAGAGCCTGCCAGAACAGTCGTGATGTAGCTGGAAAAGGAACTGCAGGTCCGGCTTTCTCCAGTAAGCCATGTGTAAATACATAGATTAGTAGTTATGGGTAAATAATTAAGACAGAGCTAGCCAATAAGAAGCCCTAGTCATTGGCCAACAGTTTCATAATCAATATAGTATCTGTGTGTTCATTTGGGGCAGTGGGACCAGGCTTTTGAGAAAGAGTGCTTTATAACATGCTTCATCTGAGAGACAGAAGACGGCAGGTGCAAAACATCACACTTACCATTGTTCTCAAGCCGAAGATGAAATCTATTAGCTGCAGGCGCCATTGTGTATGACGTCACTGGACTGTAGCCATTGTCCCATGCCCACTTCATCAGCTCCTCTTGGGTGGAAGGGATGTCATCTCTTACCAATTTGGTCACTGTCATGGATGTTTCACCCTCTTTTCCAAAACCAACACTGTTGCGAGCCTAAAGATAACAGCAAAATTTCACTCATGTGTCTAAAATTAAAAGTGTTACACAGGGTCAAGCCAAGATCAGACAACATTCCAACAGGCAGCACTGATGGAGGTCAGCAAGTTACAAAAATGAAAGATGGGGGAGGACAAGAAGGTGGGAAGGAATATTTTATGGGGACTGAGGAAGGAGCTGGGGATAGGCATGATCAAGATACACTGTATACAGGTATAAAGTTGTCAAAGAACAAATGGTATTCTAAAAAGATACCTTCAATAGGAATTATCTGAAACCAACAGATCCCAGACTGTGTAATGAGGATCTACCCTTTAACTCTTGTCTTCTTTGGATACGACACTGGGATAAAAATTAACACACATAAAGAAACATACCCATCTGCACTGTTTACCCTCTTTATTTCGGCTCCTCGTGCCTTTAAGTACACATTTCAAATGTTCCCTTACCATTTTTACTTAAAATTGTGTATAAAGCATGTAAGTATGCACACCAAGTTACAAACGCCCCAGTGGTTTTGTTTCTTAGGGCCTAGATCTAAGGAAAAGATGATATGATCTCAAGACTCTCCCAGTGCTGTAAAAGCTATTGGCTTCCACATGGTAAAACGCAAGTCTTTACATTTCATTTATAATTTATGATTGGTTTAGGCATCCTGAAATTGTTTTCACTTGCCTATTCTGTTAATATAATCAAGATAATCCCTAAGTATTAGCATTTTGTTTAAGAATAAAGGAGGAAGCCACAGAGTTGCCCTTCTATGCCTCTATAGACCACACATCTACTAAAACTGAAAGGATGTGAAGACTGAAGTGGCTCCTTTATAAAAACACGATACAAAAATCCATGAAAGTCATATTAAAAGTTTAGTTTTATTAAATCTGTTTTAATGCCAAAATGTTAGTATTCCTTCAAGGCAGTGTATGGATAGCTCTGAAAGGCCAGGCAGGACATGGGCAGTAAATGTCTATGTGGCCCTGCTAATTTCTGAGACAGGGATCTTGTCAGCAGCTGAGGAACCTGACCACTGCAGAGGGATCCAGTGGCAAGGCACAGTTTGCACAACCATCCCAATGGGGCAGAGAAATTTCCAGAGCACAGATCATGCCACTGTCACGCTGCATCAAAATCCTTTTAATTTCCATGGCCAGCGATTTTCTCCTGCATATCTGTAGCATTTTTCCCTAAATTCCTCATTTGTTTCCCGTTCTATTTGCCCCAAACATGACGAAATATTAATCCTTTCCCACTGTAAAGCCATAAAAGATTCACAGGCTCTCTGCTCTCTTGGCCTCCTTGGTTGTGGGAGATTGGCTGAGGACACATATACTGCAAAGCTTAATAGCTGTCACCCAAGATTGACTCCTGTTACCCAAAGAGCTTATCTAGGGGAAACCTGCCAGGCTGGTTGGTCATGACTTCGAGAGTGTATACAAAGAAACCCAGATGGAGAGGAGCTGAACTCTGCTACCATTCATATGCTCTGTTGTTACAGATTGGGATTAGTTTAGCTCTTACTCAAATTCAGAATAAAGAGAAGAAAAGAGAGGGAGGAAGGGAAGAAAGGGGACAGAGAGAGAGAAAGGGGGGTAGGAGGGATGAGAAAAGGAAGTAGTGATGGAGAAGCAATGAGAGACAGAAATGGGGCTGGAATAAAGACCCAGGCAGCTCTCAGAGTTTACTGATGGGTCAACAGGAGTTTCGGAGGTGCGACGTCTTCCAGCCATTCAAAGCAGCATGTGTTTTGACTGGCTTGGAACCACAACCTTGGCCTCAACAATACTGCCTGACCTCATCTGCCCTAGAAGTTCATGCTGTCAGACAGCTGAGAAAATACTGTTTCCAGAATCCCATCATCTCAATGGCCACCTGTCCCCCTGTACCAAGTAATGAATGATCTGTTCATGCCTTTCCACATTAAATCTAGAAGCTGTCAGTAAAATTCATATTAATTACAGTTCAGAACTTAATGATTAGACATCACTTACACACCAGTAAAGCAGGAAGACAGGGAACAATGGGAGGCAAGCTGTTTCTCAGTGTTGAGCAAATTCCTCACCTTTGGATCCCTGGACTCTCCAGGCTTTCCCAACCTTAATATAGCCAGGTGGGTACTCAAGGTGGGTCTCCCCAAATACCATCACCGTATTCCTCAGCTCTATTTTATGAACTATTAATTAGGTAGAGCCTAAGTGGCTTTGCCCCATGCCCTAGAAATGCTCATGTAGGGAGAAGGGTTTTAGGGAGGGGTGGGTAGAGAGTACCAAGTGTATATGCACTGAGGTTTTAAGCTAGCAATATATTTTCTAAGAATAAGCTGTGTTTGTTTGTTTTTTAAGATTTACTTACTTATTATTTACTTATTTATTATCATTCCTCCTGCATGTAACCCTGCAGGCCAGAAGAGGGCACCAGATCTCATTACAGAGGGTTGTGAGCTGCCATGTAGGTGCTGGGAATTGAATTCAAGACCTCTGGAAGAGCAGCCAGTATTCCTAACCTCTGAGCCATCTCTCTAGCTCCAATAAGCTGTATTTGTGAGGCTGCATCAAAGAGCACAGAGAAAACCTAGCTTTTAAATTTATTATAATTTTATGTGTGTGTGCGCCCATGTGTGTGCACGTGTGTGTGTGTGTGTGTGTGTGTGTGTGTGTGTGTGTGTGTGTGTGTGTGTAAGAGAGAGAGAGAGGTGGAGCTTAGAGAACCACTTGTAGGTCCTCTCCTTCCACCATAGGAGTCCCAGGGACAGAACCTTGGTCCTCAGACTTGGCAGCAAGTCTTTTACCCATCTCTCACTGACCCATAAGAGGAAACTTCTAGGAAGTTCCCCTCGTCTCTTTTGTTCTGGTGCTCTCCCTGCTGTGGAAATGACAATAACTTGTCCATAGGGGACCCAGGGAACAGGGCAGAGCCACCCTTGGGTGCTGCTCATGTTGGGTAGGCCTGCTGATCGATTCGCTCTCCATTAGACAGGGTACATGAAGCCCAGGCCGGACCGCTAACAAGCTCAGGCACAGCCATGCATGTGTCACAGGTTGTTCTTCCCAGCTCCCTATGAACTTGGGTAGACATCTTCCTGTTTTCACCTTGGTTCAAGGAGTGCATCCAGTTTCCTGTGGACAAACTCTTCCAGCGAGCACTTAAGGAAGGAAGATGAGTTCTTTTTACAATGGGTCTGTGCTAGAACTTATATTTTCTTAGTCTTCCTTTAATACAAAGAGCAAGGTTCTACCATTCTTCTGTCAGCGAAGGAGAACCTGAGACTCGCAGACTGAGTGACACACATAGCTGAAACCCTCCCCGTACCCATGTGCTTTAAGGAGACAGACAACCCTATGTGCCCTAAACAAATACTTGAGGGATGAATGGATGAACTCATCTACACCACACAATAGCTTTCAAGGTGCACACTGTCACCATGTACCTATTCCACAGCTACATAAACAGACCCCACGTTAGTCAGACTCTCGCCCGTGAACTGGGAGATGGACCTTGAATCTAGCCTTGTCTGTTAGAGTCAGGATGCTTTGTTTTCACTTAGCAACCTTGTCTGTATAGGGAAGACAAGAATTAAGTTCCCCATTATTTCTCCCTTTCTAAGCAGCAGGTTAAACCACTGTCTTAGCATGCACCCATTCCTCATAGCACAGTTTGAATTCACATCTGGGGCAGGGAGTTAGAAGTCAAATAGCTTAAAACTGACTGAATAATAAAAAGGACATCATGAAACATTACCTAGTTGTTTAGCAATGTTGTCAAGTATGATCCAAAATTGGTCCAGAACAGGAGTCCAGCCAAAGAGAGGAACAGAAACAGATTTTGCTTGAGATGGTGGCTGATCTCATTTCTAGCCTTTCTGATTCTTCTGAGAGGCAGGGGCCTTCCAAGCAGAGGCTAGGATTTCTGTGGCCCAGGCATGTGTGCTCGCTTGGGGACAGCAGCAGGAGCTGCAGGTCAGCCCTGAGAAGAGCACACAGGAACCCCAGCAGGGAATTAAAAGGACCATGTTTTTTTTTTTTTTTGTTTTGTTTTGTTTTTTTGCCTTTCAGAGCAATGATTCCCCTTCCTGTGTTTGTTATTCTGAAACTAAAAACACTTGGTAGATGTGCCAGGCAGCAAAAGCAGCAAACACTCAGGTCACCCCCGCCCCTTGTGCCATGCCAGGAGAAGGCAATCAAATATCTGTGACCTTGGAAAAATCATGGCTAAGGTTTGCACTCAACACTAGCTTCATGCGTCACTATTACACTTGATGGGTTATTTGCACTGTTTCAAAGTCTAAGGAAAATAGTAATAATTTTTCAAAAAGTCCTAGGAACAAAGAAGGACTATTTTAAAATTGAGATGTGTGTGCTACTGGCTTTGTCTTCTCTGGTGAGTTCATCTGTGCAGCTGGACTTGTGGGGAATTGTTGGCTTTGCTTACTGCTGGATCCCACGGAAAGTGCTGTGTGCAAATGAACGCAGAACCAAAACAACCATGCACACTCATACATGTAATCTGCTCCAATATTCCCTAAATATACCCCAGACAAGATTTTTATTTCACCAAACTTTAACATTTAACTTTCCCAACAAGCTAGCTACCTCTTTATCATGTTATGTTAGCCAGCAAAGCCCCTTACAAAAGCTTTGCAAAACAATGTTTTAGAGATAAACATGTTTACTTTTGAAAAAAAAATCATGTGTGTGTGTAGGATGTGCATATATGTTCATGGAGGCCAGTGATCAGTATTAGGTGTTTTCGTCAATCTATGTCTGCCTAAGTTTTTGAGATAGGGTCTCTCACTGAACCAGGAGCTCACGAATTCAGCTAGGCTATACAGCCAATGAGCTCAAGGGATTCTTCTGTATCTGCCTCCCACACTCTAGCATTGGGATTACAGCTTACTGACTGAGCAATCCTGTGCCCACAGTTAGTTTTCTCTCAGTTTTGGTCCTGAAAGTTAGATGCAAACAAAGATACAAACACCACATATTTATCTCAATGGGAAAGTCTATGACACAGGCTGGGATCAGCTGGGTTTTCCTTCCTCCCTCAGCACCTAATTCCAGAGTTAAAGCTGAAATTCTGGACCATGACATTGACCCTCTGAAGAATAGTCAGACATGAAAACTGTACTTTTGCTCATTGCTTCATATTTACTATGACTAGAAAACACACTAATTCATTTCAAAACTTCCCTAATGAGGTAACTGGAATTTAGAGAGCTTCAAGGACATGTTCAAATTTTAAGTAGAAGAACCAAGACTCAAACCCACATCTGTTGTGCTCCCTCAGGCCATGTTTTAGCTACCACACTGACCTGTCCCATCAGGTGAAACCAAACATAGTTTTCAAAGTAAAAGCTAACAGACAGCTTAGAAAGTTCAAAGAGGCAGAACCCTTGCAAAAATAACACACACAACCACAGTTTAAATTATTGCTGTTTAACAAGACCAAGAAATGTGTAGCCAACTTACAATAACTTTCAGGTTTCCCTTGACGTCAAAGGATTTGACCACCCAGTTGACATCCTTTTTGCAGTTCAAGATCAGGATGAGGTTTTTAACCACCTTAGGATGCTCCCGAGCAGGTCGTATGTCAATGACTATATCCACCTGGAAGGCACTGTGTGTGGAAAACAAAGGCAAAGTTAAGACTAAGATGCCAGAAGGTTTGCCACCGATTCCAAGCCTCATGTTTCCAGTGTCTGGCCAGTTGATTAAAAAGCTGGCGCAGATCCCAGGCAAATGACATGTGCAAAACAGATTGCTATTGCACACATAACAAAATGGGTTTACATAACAAGAGGAACACAGGCCTGATGCTAATTAACCGATCAAGTTTTTCCCTTCTTGAGAAGGGGAGAAAGTCAGTTACTCAATGTAGCACCATTTGAAGGGAAGGGACTTGAACACAAGCAAAGCTTCATTTGGAAGCAGAATTGTTTGTTTTCAAGCTTCTGCAGCTCGCCCTTCATTGTCCTGTAACTTTAAAGGCCCTATATGCTGAAAGCACTTGAAAACCTGACTTGAGTGGCTGATGGCTGGAAGGTAGGAGGCATGATGGTACAAGCACTCTTCATAGTGAATTACAAGGTAAAGGCCTCTTGACTAATTTAAGAGTTGATTAAGGCATCAATAGTGGGTAAACAATCGTATCTGCATTTACTTCCCAAACTTCTGGATATACAGTTAATAAAGAAAATTAGTGGTCAAGGAATTCAGCATGAAAGAAAATGATTTTAACTAAATGATCACACTCTTGGTCCTGAATTTGAAGAAGTCTGTCTTGGCTTCATTTGTGGTGTGGGATAACCAGGGTACTCTGGTTTAAAAAGTTCAGCACACATTCTCCAAGTCCCTCCCATTCCTTTTGAGTTTCCCACAGAGTCCTGTACATGTGACTGGATGGAATCCTACCCAAACTGATCTATAGTCTATTCAATTTTGAAGTGAAAACTCTTATTATACTTTTAGTTTCAAAAAAATCTCTCTATAATAAAAATGGTAAAGTTTGAGTCACTGATCCATATGAAATACAGGTCAGAGTAGAAAGTAATTTTTTTTCTCCTAAAAAAAAAAAAAAACTAATTATTTTCAATAGGAATAATTAAACTTCCAGGGTAGGAAGCTGAGAGACAGAATAAGAACACACATGGCAAATTGTGCCATCTAATGGATCCTTGGTATGTAACATGAATTCCTCCAACACACATGCACACATGCACACTCACACACATTCTGTGTGCACATGCATCCTCACCTGTAAGGGTTCGAGTTGGGGGTGATTAACTCAATAATGTGCACTTCCTTCTCCTGGGGTTGAGTGGACAGGACACAACCTTCAGCAGGTGTGGGTTGACGGTACCCAGCAAGGTAATTGAGTGAGATAAAATTCTTCCCTATGTTGCATGTGGGAGGGAATACTTGATCTGTGAATAAATAAAAACAGGGCACTTGGTCAAACCACTGAGCTTATGGAACCAGACCGGAAGGAAAGAGGTAAACAGTGAGACAGGGAATGCATGGCACAGAAACCATAAGCCCAAAGAATTCAATTACTGCTCAGAAATATCTCCCACTTTGGCTACCAGTGAGCTCCTAGTGGCCAATGTTAGTGGCTTCTTTTATTATCTGCATCCACCCATTCCTTGTCCTTGCTTATTTCCTATGATCCAAGCTATGTCCCACCCCTTTTCACTAGAGTGGTCCTTTAGCACTCTGTCCCAGAGAGTCTTGACTCAGGTTTTATGTAGGACATGGAGATCTTTCCTCTCCAAAGAGGAGAGGAAGCCAAGGTTGAGACTCTCAGGCCTGAACTGGGGAATGTAGCTCAGTCTGTAAAGTGTTTGCCTAGCATGCACAAGACCCTAGGTTCCACCTCCAATGTTGTGTTATCAGGTGAGGTGGCACTCACTCATAATCTCGTCATTTGGGAGGTAGAGGCAGGAAAATGAGGAATTTAAGATCAGCTACAAGCAATTCTGAGGCCAGACAGGACTACAAACCTATCTCACAATCAAAAAGCAAACAAAACAAAACAACCCAAAACATCAAAGATATACAGCCATAAGGAAAAATGAAGTCATGGCTTATTCAGGAACATGTATGCAGCTGGAAGCCCAAATAATCCAGACACAGAATTCTGAGTTCTTTCCTCCAGGTAATCCAGTTCACACCTGTGGTATCCACTTGTTGCTATACCATTGCTCCTCTCCTAGGCTGCAAACTTAGGGCTGTCATCTGTCTAACATGAGGTTCCCACCTAGATAGGCATTTCTCATGAGCACACTCAACATTAAATCCATTTTCAATTCTAGAGGCTTCTCCTTGGATACCTGCAACTTCAATGCAAGTAGCTATTGGTTCCCTGGTCCACACATCATAGTACCCTCTACCCTGAAATTAAAAGTGGGAAGGATGGGGAAGAGAGACAAGACAAATTTTCATTCTTTTTCACACTCTTGCCTTACATAACTAACCCTGACACAGCTCTTTCACATTTTCAAGGTTCTTTTTACAAACACCACTGGGCTGAGGACTACTATCCACCCTGACCTGGAAAAAGACACACCAGTCCCAAGATCCTGAAGGCACTCCCCTGGTGATACATGCTATCTACACAGCACTACCTCCAATGGGATTTCCATCTCATGGTTTTAATGTTTAAACAGAACTCAAGAGAGAAGCTGCTGTCACTGTGACAGCTGGGACCAGTGTCCAGGAAGTTGTAGGTGAAGCCAGATTTTCAGCAGGGGAATTAACCAGACTTGGCACTTCAGTAATGCAGCCTTGTATCTTTTAAATTTTAAGGATGTGATGCTTGAGTTCACATCCACCTGGAAGTCACACCTGAAAACAGATGAGTTTTCACGGTTGCCAGGCTGGGTTGACATTGTCCTCTCCCCAACCTTGTACAATTTCTATTTGCTGGCCTTAGGCTCACACTGAGGCACTGTAGCTCTAACCATTGCAATGTCCCCAGCACCACCTGGGAACAGAGGAGCCCCTCCTTGTGCAACTGCTGCAAGAGAGCTTTGGCTTATGCATCCTGCATTCTTTTCTGAAAACCTCCTCCAAGGAAACAGCCCACAGCTTCACAATTCAAGCTATTGGAGCAGCATCCCCTCCACATCTGCTGAGGGGTTTTCCAGATGTGCTGATGAGGAATGCATACTCCACAGCTGCAGCCCTGTGATGCCTCCCCCAGGTCACAAGATGAAAAATGATATTGGGACTGAAGGGCTGAAATCTGATTGAGAATCTGGAGGTGTGTATGTGGGCCAGAACTTGAGACACCAGGTCCCTCTTGGGACTGGGGCTTGCATTTCTTACACAGGTGTGCCTAGCTCATAGTTGGCATATAATAGACACATAGTACAGGCTTCTGGAATCAACAAATGATGATGTGAAATTTGAGACAAATAGCCTAAGATTCTCTAGGTGGATGAGCTACTAGGAAAGGTTTAACTCTTTTGTAAAGGCTCCAGTCCCAGATGTCACTGTGAACTGAGTGAGCTGACCACGTTGTGTTGAGCTGACCACATTGTGTTGTCTGGAGTCCCCCAGCTTATGTGACTTTCCACAAGCTTTTCATAAAAACACACACCAAGTGCCAAGTAGGAAAACAAGCACAAAAGGGAAGCCTCAGGTAAGCTTGATAGGGAAGGTGCAGGTTAACATGGCTAAGGACTCTGAGAACAGGGTCTTAGAGGTCATATGAAGGCTCCTTTTTCTGCTGTGAAGGCCTACAGCCTGGAGATAAACCCATAGTGCTTGGATAAGAGCCTGCACTCTACACTCAGTCCTTCCTCTCCGTGTGGACAATGAGTACAACCACCTGGGTAAGTTCACAGAAACACGCACTGCTGACCCCATCCTAGTTTCTTATTTAGCTGGCCTAGACTGAGCTAAAAATTGGCATCTCTAACAAGGTTCTCAGTAACATGGATGATTTGAAGGTGGGAGCCACAACTCTAAAAACCACTGGAGTTTGAGCAGGATGAGAACCCTAGCCTAGGGTCCCTGTTTGGGAAGCTAATCAGTGAGGTAATAATAGTAACATCACCTGGGACTATGAGCTTAACAAAGGAGTTTTGCTCAACCCCCTCATGCCCCTCTCCCATTATCCTGTCAGTGACACGGGCCAGTGACTTAAACCCAGCTAACAGCTGGAATCAAGTTTCAGGGGATCCTAGGGAAACTCAGTCAATCAGCTTTTACACCAGGCCTTTCAGTTTCACTTCCCCCTCTCAACGTGGAGCTCAGCTACACCTGGTGCAGGTGACTACTGTGCTCTATGCATTGGCAAGGAAGCGGCCAATAGTCTAAATGTTTTGACGCCAAGTTTTCTTATTCTAACAATGCCGAACTTGTTATCCCTTCACCCTTCATGCTGCCAGAATGTGCTTCAGACAGACAGGACGCTGGCTGATAGCCTTTATTAAGTGATTTTGTTTTTCAGTCTCTTTGTTCCTATGAGGCCCGACTACAGTGAGAATTTAGGAACTCCATTCCCATCTAAAACCCCTTCTCTCGGGCCATCAAGTCACTTTTCAATTATGAGATCACCTTTGCTCTCAGGATATGCTCATTTGGGTAAGACTTAAAGGAGAGCTTCAGGCAGCAGCACACCCAAGAGTGAAGATTCTATAGCTGAGAACTGGCTTTGCCACTTTTTAGTGATGCGACCCATTCGCTTAACCCTCCTGAGTCACAGTAATGCAGAGAATGACAGAAACAATGCCCCTTCTTGGGACTGCCTGCAGTATGTGTGAAAACTCCGGATTCGGTCTTTGCATGTAGCCAACACACCAATGTTGGCACCAACTTTTTACACACCAATATCAGTGCCCACATTTATTGCACCTGTCTCATTTTTCTTTTAAAACATCTCAGATTCAAGCAGGGGGAATCAAGCACTCAACACCCCCCCCAATGATATCTGGGTAGGAGGTGATGGCTGTTGTCAGAGCATGTAGCACTTTACACAGCCAGCTGAGGATAAGGCCCATCCATGACAGTTATTTCCTAGTAACTTGAGGGGCAGAGATGAAGTTCCAAATATCAACTAAAAATGACTTTAAAATACTTTAAAAATAGGCTTTCAAAATTGAGTTGTTGCATATTTATATCTTTCTGCAAGGCAAGGAAATTAAAAGGGGCTATCTCTTATCAAAGCATATGTAGTTCTTTCTTTCTTCCAACAAAGTGTTAGTACACTTTTCCCTCTTTTCGTGCCTAAAACTTAACTGATGTCTCTCAACACTAGAAAGGACAATGGCTTCAAACATTTGCAGAATAATAGGTAAGAAGCTGTCCCCAGGTGCTGAACCTGTCCTGCTAACTCCTTCATTGTATCAGTCACCACCACCTTCCCCACACCCTTAGCCACTCACTTATTCTGAATTCCAGGTGTGACTATGTTCTAAACCCCACACAGCAACCTCCTTTTCTCTCAGCCAAATCCCTACCCCATTTCAACAGAAAGAAGGAGAGGAGGGGTGGTATGGGAAGACCTCCCTTAGGCCTCTGCCAGTCCCAGCACCCTGGAATCCTACTGTCCCTGGCTCTGACCATCTGGATTCAGCAAGGCAAACAACCAATGATTGTAAATCTGTCATTACCAGGGACCGCACAAGACTTACCCTCCCCCACTTTAATGTAGATGTTTCTCGATATCTTGAGTTCGGTGAATGAAGTCACTGCTCCATACTCCTTCCGGGCCCAGTTTAGCAGATGCTCGTTTCTGTGAGGGAAACTCTTCTCTTTTGTTTCTGCTGTCGAGGAGAAGTTTTCTGATGAAAACTGGACCATAGACCCCTCTGGCACCTGAAGCAAACATAGTTAACAACGTGATGGAGTTACCCAGAGCCAAACCAAGATTAGAGGAAGCACTAGCCAGACTTGCCCATCATCCTTAGTTTGTCTCTCCTCTCTGCTATGCAAGCAGATGTGACAGAGGCAGAGAAGCTCTCTAAGCACTAATTCAAGAACCCCAAGCCCACTTCTCCCAGATAACCCCAGGCAGGCTGTCCATTCCAACTCTGAGAGAACCCCGTGATGAGAAATCATCTTTGCAATTTCCCACAAGCCTTCAGTAGAGCTCTACCTCCCATACACTGGTGAACATATGTGGACTGAACTGGACATTTTAGGGCACAATCACTCTTTGCACATAATTTATTCTAGATCAGGCACCATTAGTAACACCCCTAACATTGGGCCTGAGCAAACTTGCTGTAGACACTGTGATAGTATGCACCAGTGTGTGTAGAGGGCTGTGGTAGAGATAACAGAGTAATGAACAAGTGTTATTTCTTGGCATTCCCAAGTGTCATCACTACCCAGATATCTGCTTGATTCCCCAAGTACCTCATTTTATGATATGTCAAGTTTCATTCATTCTTTTTTTTTTTTTTTTTTTTTTTTTTTTTTCAATATTTACTTTGAGCATGAATGTATGTGGGCATGCGCTGAGGTCTGAGGGCAACTTCTGAGGGGTTGTCAGGCTTGGCAGGAAGCCCCTTTCCCCCTGAGCTACCACCTTATGGACCCCTGTTGAGTTCTTAAAGATTTAAGGAAGCCTTTCTGGTCTGTACTGGCTTAGGAAACACAGAACTAATCACTAATAAACTAGGTGAAAATCATGTCACAAGAATGGCAGTTAACTGCCCATCAACTATGTGTTAAGTACCACAACATGCCTTCTGGTACAGTAATGATAACTTCTAAGGGTCCTCATGCTGGTTATAAGCAAAGCTAGTGTGGAAAGTTTAGCTTTGGCCTTGTTTTGATGTTGTCTGTTCATGTCAAGGCTTGACATCCATCTTCTTGCCTCATACTAACCATGCCACCTCTGGGTATCTCTGTTGTGTGCAGCCATGCATCAATACTACCTCATCTGGGGCTTTCCAGCCCTGCAGTAAAAGCTTTTAGCTGCTGAAAAACACTTGTCTATTTTTGTTCAAATTTTCCCAAAGAACAAAACCCACAGCAGTGCAGTGAGGGCTCCTGCTGGTCTGTCCATCCCTCTGTCCATCTTCCCCGCCACATCAACCCAGCCTCACTGCAGTCTTCTCTCCAGGCAGCCCCAAGGTTCATAAACTCAGGGCTGAGGAATTTGGAAGCCCTTGCTGCCACTCCTCAGGCACATTCCAATAAGAAGAGGGAGAAGTTGCCAGGGGTAGGGAGGTGCCCCTGACTGCAGGTCAATGGAAATTTTCTGCTTTTGCAAGCAGTTACTCAGCACCCTCCCCTCAACCACCAGCTCTACAGGCCTTACAAAGGCCCTCCACCACGGTGGAGGTACAGAAGATACTGTTCACGGGAGATCCCCAGGATCCTCGGGACCAGTGGTGATTATGATTCCCACAGCAGAGAAGGGAACTGGAGAGAAATGGACAGTCTCTCTCAGCACTAGGGCAAGACCTTCATGTGAGCCTTGGACTTCCAGTCACAGTGGGCTTCTGTCCTAACCCTGGAAAGAGCCTCACAGTCTGTCATGACAGGTTTATAGTCTTTCTTTCAAAATGGCATTTTTGTGTGTGTGTGTGTGTGTGTGTGTGTGTGTGTGTGTGTGTGTGTGTGTGTGTGAGAGAGATGTGGGGGGGTATGTGTGCCTGTGTATGTGATGTGTGTGTGTGTAGGCATGTGGCATTATATACATCTGGATGTCAGAGGACAACTTGTGGATTCCAGCAGCCAGAGCCCCTGATAAGCCATCTCTCTAGTCCTGTTCTCTTTCTAAGATTCTGTTTGCTGGTCTGAGTCAGCCTACCAGGTGAGAGAATTAATTATTCATTCTTTGGTAACATTCAAATATTTGAAGATGTCAGTGGACTTTTAGCACTCTGCAGGATAATATTCTCAGCTTCCTCATCTCCTGACACCACAGTTGTCAAACTGTTACTAGCACAGACTCTGAACACAGTACTGGGGCAAGACTCAGTTCCTGGCAACCAGCCCCCAACCTGAGGCCATCTAGGAGCCCCACTTACCAGTCAACACATTAACACAAGCAAGATATCCCTTTGGGGACACCAAGGGTTTTAGGAAATGTGTGCCAGTCACAGCAGAGACTAAACATATATTTTTTGGTGTACCACAATAAGTGAATGTGAAATTGTTGCTTTAAGCACAAGGATTTTATATTTGGATTAAATAACAAACTTCCTAAGGCTATTTATTCCACTGCCCATCCCCCACCTTGGTTCAGGGTCTTTTGCTCACAAAAACAGAAAAAGAAAACACAGTAGTCAGTCCCATTCCTTCACCCATACTGTCACCTGGAAAATCTCCCTAAAGTGAAAATATGTGATAAGAAGGACTAGAATTTGCTTCCCCTCCAATTCACACCACTTTCCCACATGGCAAGACTCACCATGTAGAACCAAAGGCAGCCGCAGACACTCTTGGTCTTCTATCCCTCTTCCCTGCCAGGACCACTGTGCTACGCCTCCCATGTCCTCTCCTCTGTGGCCTCCCAGGCCCCTGATCTCCTCAGGACCTACTTAGCTGCCTACCTGTCATCAACATGCCTCCTGCCAGCCCCCTCTCACACATAACACACCCACCACCTTCCCTTGACAAAAAACACCTGAGGGCCAAGGAAGCATGTCTGCCCATCCTGAATCTCTTTACAGGCACAGTGCACAGCACAGGTGGGGGTTAAAAATCTCATGTTGATGAGAGATGCTACCTACAAGGAAAGATCTCTTCCTCACTCTAGTTGCCAGAGCTCCTCGCTTCCCCCACCTCCCCAGAAAGTGACTCTGAGCCAGGCTTTAGAGCTAATGATTTGATTTCTCACCTAATAACTCCAGCTAAAAGCCAATTATTAAAGCATACTTAGCAGTTCTGTCTCCACCCACAGTACACTGAACTTTCCTCCTGCTTTCTAATTAACTGCTTACTCCTCCACATGACAGATGTCTTCCTGTGGGAATCCGAAGAACACTGAGCTCCAAGGACCTTGACTCTTAGCAAGGTTCCGTTGAAGGGACAATCACCAAGTAGTTTTACGGTCTAACAAATCCCAGGAAGCCAACGTGCACCTGAGTCCCTTCTTCCGTGCTTGAACTGCACACAGCATTGGTATTTTAAATTCCGCTTATGCTACCAGACTTTTTTTTTTTTTTTTTAAGAGCAGAGCATTACTCTATCTGCCAAGGCTGGGAGTTTTATTACAAGAACTTACAACGAAGCTACAAGAGCCAAGTTTATTATTTTTTCTGGACCACATTCAATAACCTCATCCAAAAGCACATGGAGGAAAAAGGAGGCATCTAGCCCTTTTGTTTCTACACCTGTGTTTGAGCATTAACTCTTCAAGTCCTAAGTGGACTCCCACATGCCTTGAAGTTGAGCTCACAGGCCAGAGCAAAGGCCAAGCCCTTGGGAGACTCTACACATCTTCCTGGAAGTGAGCCTCTTCATGTTAGCACTGATCCCAACAGGTCAGCTGACTCAGAGGTCCAGTGCTTGCAGCAGTTTCTCTTGAGTGGCTCCAAGTCAATGCAGTCTTCAGTGGGGGGAGAGGAAAAGGGGAGCTTTGCCTTGGCTGCCCAATGCCTCTCTTCTATTTCCACCCACATCCCCAACCCAAAACAAATACTCCCAGGTGCATACCACAGATGCAATCCAGGTCACAGTAGGCCATGGGTGACCCTCAGGGTGCCTTCCACCTCATATCCGCCACTCTGGCTGCTCTGGGTCCCCATCTTTTACTGCACAATATTTCTACTGTATCCACTACTTTCTAAGATGCCACAGGACATAGTCCCTTTTTTATGCATATTTCCCATCTCTTTCTTTGGAGCTTGGAAATATGGTCATGTTATACAGGGATATCTCTCAAGCACTTGGGATAGGTGATGTCTACAAATAAGACAACAAGCATCTAATAGAAGGCATCTTGAAATTCATTTGGTTGGTTGTGCCTGGCATAAGGTCTGTGCTAAAGAGGATTCAAAAGTCTTATTTGGGGACAGCGAAGCAGGAGAAAATGTCACAATCCATTGTGAATATCAGGGGCTCTATTCCCATTCACACAGTATTCAATACAGTAACTACTGACTGCACACCACCAATAAATAAGCACCTGTGATATTGCTAAATGAACCCACATTGAAGTTACTAGAGCTTGAAGATGTTTTACAAAAAGTAAAATATCCTGTGAATTTTATTTTATCACATGTTTAAATACTGTGTTGAATGAATTAATTACATTTTTATTTATACTTAAAATCACACTTGATTTCTATCCTGTGGCTTCTTCCAATGTGATCCTAAGGACGGAATGCACTTATAGACGTGGGATGTACATTCACCCGTCTGACTCAGTCTAGACTCAGGACCCAGAAGACAGCATGAGCCAGTGACTCCCCAAGTGTTGTCTCAGATCAGTGTGTAACAGGCAGAAATAAGTCAAAATGTAGATCCCATGGTGGTGGAGAGTGGGAACCTAGGACCCTGGAGACTATATTCTGATTTTACCATCCAGGACTCCAGCACACAACTGAGGAACACTGGTCCAGGCAGAGACACAGATGTATTTATTTACTAACTTGTTCTCATGGCACTGCGCTGGGGACAAAGCCAGGGACTTTTGTAGCACAAACTAGCACTCTGGCACTGGGTTACATCACCAGGCCTGGTACTGGTTTATTGGGTACACATTCTTTAATAATGCCATACATGAATATAATGAATTAAATCATATCTAACTCCCCATGTTGTCACGATGTTTTTCTGCTTTTTATGAGTGTGTGTGTGATGGGGGTTGGGGGTGTGAAGGCAAGTGTGTGGGGTATGTGGTGTGGGTATGTGTA